TCTTGGGATTCCAAGTGAGATCGCTGTTTCTTCGAAACGACTCGTAGTCCGCCACGGGAATGATCAAGATGCCTTTCATCGATCAAGCTGGCACATTCAGGTTGATGTTCCACAACGTGTCGCTTTTGTCCTTGACGATCATCCGGTGCCGCAACACGCGGTCGTACAGGATGGGCAGCTTTCCCGAGTACTGGTGGCGAATCTGCCGGGCCAGTTCCGTGATCATGACCATGTCGAACTCCAGGGAGATGTTGTCGACTACATAGCTGGCCTCGGTGCAGTCCGGCATGAAGATGACATTGCCGTAGTCGTTGAACGTGAGTTGAACGTATTCCAGCCTGTCGCCCAGCACAGCCTGCTGAAACGGCATGTGCCCCTCGAGCAGCTCGAAGTCGAGTGGTATGCAAAACCGATTCCCGTACGTCTTGGCGACGGCTTTTTCTCCTGCTGTTATATTGCCGAGCTGGTCTTGCGTGAAACCATACCCCACACGGATTTCGTTCGATACGTCCTTATTCCGACAAAGTCCTTGATACGCCATGTCATCGCGTTCGTTCGAGGTTCTCCAGAGGTCCGAGTAACAGTAAAACATGTCGATGTCGTCGATGTTCAGCACCTCGTTCACGGTGATTTTAATGGTGGTTTTCTTGACGATGGGAGAACCTAGGTTGTTCAAGATCATGCGTTTGTCGGTCGTGGACTCCAAGGTGATCTGAAAAGCCAGTCGAGTCGTTTCGGGGACGATGACGTCGTTTGCACCCAGGTTGGGGAATCAAACCAGCAGCATTCGGTTTTGATCGATCGTGCTCGGATTGTTGGTGATCGTCACCAACCTGCTCACCAGCAAACGACTCGAACCTCTTGGCAACGAACACGTCCTTTCACAGTTTACACACCTTCCACGGAACAGAAAGACCGGGAACTGAGTTTCGTGTCGCTAGGTCTAGCGACAACCGTGTTGATCGCCAAACAATTAGAATAACATATATTATGTGTATATATATATAAAGATGGGAAGACGCGCACCATACAAGTGCAAGTACGTGCTGCTAGGAAAAAACGAAACCTGCGGCAAGAAATGCACCACCGAATATTGCGACATACACATGATGTCCATACGAAAGGGTTTCATGAATTACACGTGCGAAATGTGCGGCATAGGCGTGAAATGCAATTATCATTGTTGCAAAGCCCATGGAGCGGACTTGGTACGAGGCCATCTCATCTACTTGACAAAAAGAGACTATCTCAACGAATGCAACCGACTGCTCAGAATAAAAATCTAACATGCATCACGAAAATCACTTCTTCTTTTTTAAAGTCGGTTGAAAGTTTAACTATCCAATATATTGACGTGGTTCCTAACATTTAACAGCGAGACATACTTCGCACACCAACAAACTACTAGAGATTTTGTACTCGCAGCCGAACATAGTGACGAAAATCCTATTAGAGATTTGACTTCGCATCTGAATATAATTATTTTTCATTTAGAAAAAGTTTTTCACACATTGATATAGCAACGATGATTACCGTTCGAGAACTGAATAGGATTGCCAAAAAACGTGGAGTAATCGGTTATTCCGTTTTGAGGAAACCTCTGCTGCTGAGATTGCTCGGCATGAAAGACGAACGACGACAACCCACGGTGAAACAGCTCAAACTCCAAGCGAAGGAGCGTGGGCTCAGAGGTTATTCGCGCATGAGGAAAGCTGAGCTCCTCGAACTGCTGGAGGAACACAAACCCGTCAAACTACGGTTCGTGCGGAAAAAGCATGCGGTAGGTAAGTATCTTAGAGGCTGGAGGCTGGAGGCTGGACGTTGACAAAAACATGGACGTCGACGACATCAAACTGCTGGTCGGCGACAAAGTCGGCGAGGAACTGAACGATCTCTGAAGCCTCAAATTTCAACTCACGGTGAAAATGTTGCTGGACAACCACAGACGGACGGCACCACCGACCACGTCCAGCCTTACTTCAGAGGCAAGCAAGAACTCGCGACTCATTGGGTTGGGTTGGGTCATGGACACAATCGACACGGTCTACCTGGACGTAGCGAACTACGTGCCGTTCAAAGGAAGGTCGTACCTAGACTTGCCACCGTACTACAAGAAAAAACAAGCCATGTTCAACGTCAAAATCAAAGGTGATTATCGCATGAGGGTTGCGATCAGATCTGCGAAGTTTCCGGTCAAAGCACATTCAGACAGACTTTCGAGCTATCCCGAAGACGATGGGATCAACTGGGACGGCTCCCTCACAAACGAACACTGTAAGACAATCAATATATTCATGTTCCAGAAAGGCGACAAGTTTCACTACACGTGGATAAAATATTTCAACATATATTTCGACTGTTGTACGATCAATCGAAGCATAAAGAAAAGAAACACTTCTGCGAAAGGTGCCTGCACGGCTTCACGTGGGCCGACCTTCTGGAATCCCATCGGGAGGATTGCCGAGGCGTGGGAGAGACGGCCATCCGAATAGACATGCCCAACGAAAAGAAAAACATGCTTAAATTCTTCAACCACAAACATCAAATGCTCGTGCCCTACATCATCCACTCCCACTTCGAAGCCCTCGACACTGTCGCGCCGTCGTCCCGTCGTCGTTTCACGCATAAAACAGGAGAACACAAAGCCTTTGGGTTCGGTTACGTGTTCGTTCAATTCGACAGGGAAACAACGCTCCCGTGGTCTACCAGGGTCCCGACGTGGCTGAACAATTTCTCACGTGTTTGCAAAAGGAAGAGAAAATCATCAGGAAACAGTTGTACATGTAGGCATCGTCCCCATGCGTATGACCCAAGACGACTGGCGAACTCATAAGAAAGCAAAGAATTGCCACGTGTGCGACGATCCCCTGAACGGGGACGCGTGAGAGATCACTGCCACATCACCTGCAAGTACAGAGGTGCCGCTCACAACACGTGCAACTTGAAGTTCAAAATCAATCCCAAGACCATCAAAGTCCCTGTCGTGTTTTACAATCTTTGCGGATACGATTCTCACCTGATCATGCAGGCCATCGCAAAGTTGATGGCAACAAAACGTGCATCCCCAACAACATGGAAAAATACATCTCGTTCTCGTTAGACGGTCTGAGATTTATCGATAGCGTTCAGTTCCTGCTGTCGTCTCTAGACAGTCTGGTGAACGCCAACGACCCGGACGACTTCAACATCACCAATCGATACACTGACGCCGAGACTCGACCTCTGCTGCTGAGGAAGGGCGTCTACCCCTGCGAGTACATGGACGATTGGTCTAAGTTCGACAAGACGCGATTACCTCCCATCGACCGGTTTTACAGCAACTTGACCGATTCCAATACCTCTCAGGAAGATTACACGCATGTGAATAATGTGTGGGACAAACTGGGCTGCAAGGATTTGGGCGATTACCACGACCTGTACTTGAAAACGGACGTGTTGCTGCTGGCCGACGTGTTTGAGATGTTCAGAAAAACGTGCTCGAAACAGTACGACCTGGACCCTGCGTGGTATTTCTCATCCCCCGGTCTCTCTTGGGACGCCTTGTTGAAAAAAAACGGGGTGGAGCTGAAAGTACTGACGGATTACGACATGCACCTGTTCGTGGAAAAAGCCTTGCGAGGTGGGATTTCCATGACCTCCAAACAATATGCCAAAGCCAACAACAAGTATGTTCCCGGTCACGACCCCGGCAAACCCACCAAACACATACTTTATCTCGACGCCAACAACCTGTACGGCTGGGCCATGAGTTATTATCTCCCCACCGGGGATTCGAATGGGTCTCTTCGCCCGAGATGATTGACGTGAATAGCATCGCGCCGGATTCAAACAAAGGCTACGTGCTTGAAGTGGACTTGGACTATCTCGCAGAACTACACGAATCGCACAACAGCTATCCGCTAGCTCCCAAAAGATTGACGGTGAACCCGGACTGGATGTCCGAATATCAACGAAACTTCCTGGGAGACAACAAACTGGCTAACGTCGAAAAACTCGTGCCGAACTTGATGAACAAGTCAAAATACGTCGTTCACTATCGAAATCTGCAGCTGTACTTGTCGCTGGGAATGAAACTTACGAAAATACACAGGGTGCTCCAGTTCGATCAAAGTCCATGGATGGAACCTTACATTCGGTTGAACACGAATCTGCAAAAACAAGCCACGAGCGATTTAAAAAAAACACGAGCTCATGAACAACTCAGTGTTCGGCAAGACAATGGAGAATTTGAGAAAACGCGTTAACGTGAAATTAGTCAGATCCAGCGAGGAAGAAAAACTCAGGAAACTCTTAGCCAGCACGGCCTTCAACCAAAGCAAGATATTTGACGATGACTTGGCAGCGCTGCACATGAACAAAAGCCACACCAAGTTTAACCGGCCCGTTTACGTGGGGATGAGCATCCTCGACTTATCCAAACACTTGATGTACGATTTCTACTACAACGAGCTGAAAAAGCAGTACGGCGACAGGTGCGAAGTGCTGTACACAGACACAGATTCCCTGCTGATAGAAATTCACACCGAGGACGTGTACGAGGACATGAAGAAACACATGCACCTGTATGACACCAGCGACTACCCTAAATATGACCCAATGCACAGCCAAATCAACAAAAAAATGTGCTCGGCAAGATGAAGGACTAATGCGAGGGCACGACAATCGCCGAGTACGTGTATACTGCTACGGGATCGGGTGGTCAGGCTCGCTGACTTAGTTGACACATGTCATCGTGTCCCAATTGCTTAGATCGATGCTCACGCTGTTCATCACTGGATTGTCTGGCCAAGACTCGATTATTTACAGACCGCCAACACATAGCGTCATCAAGTATTGCTTGCTTTGAATGGACTTTCATGAGGTCTCGCTCGATTTAACAGGGTTTCATGAAATATTGCTTGTTTTGAATGGCTTTTCATCGAGTAAGGACACCTGGAGCACCCAAGAGCATCACTCAAGACAGTTACGGGTTATCTCCCTTATCATGCGCAAACACTCGAATCTGACTGGGATTGGGCTGTCGTCAAGGGTGTATGTCGGTTTCTTGTTTGTATCTGCAGCACATATGGTTGTAACTCCAACACCCGCGCAATGACAGAATCATCTCTTTTAGTTCTTTGTTGTTTATTAACTGTGAGTATTTTGTACTTGCTTTTCATTTGCAAATTGTTAACATTGTTTATTTCTATTATTGTGATCCTTGTTTTCTCAACAATTCTGTAGAATGTGATGCGATGGAAAGTAAACGCAAAGAATATTCATGGTGATGCATGTGATTCGTTATGGCCATGTTTGATTGTCTTGGTTTCCTCTTACTTCCAGAGTGAAATCGCAGCGTCCACGGGTATGTATATAGTGTTAAGATATATTTGGTTTAACATCGCGTTCAAGGTTATTTATAACTCTCGCTGTCTGTCTGTCTGTATGTATGTATGTGCGTGTGCGTGTGTCTGCGTGCATGCGTGCGTCCGTGTGTGTGTTGTGCTCATGCCGATGTTATATTGTTGAATCTATGCTGCAATTTAGACACAGTATTCTCACCCGGAATCGACTGTTCATGTTTATCCTCTTAATGTCGCCAGTATATGTTAACATCAACACTTGAAACGACAGGATAAGCAGTCTCGATTATCTGCTGCAACTGATTCTGTTAAAAATATATACAGAGCTCCTGACGAGAAACATTTTTCATGGCTGTTAAAGGCGCTGGTCAACGTGCCTTAGACACTGTGTTCAAAAAACAAATGAACGATTGCAATTCAAGCCGGCAATTTACGCCCGAAGGCATGCATGATGCACGTGCATCTCGATTTCAATGTTGTGTTTGGGTGAACTCTTCCCTTTCCACAAACAAAAACATTTCTAGCCTCAATCTCAAATACTTTATTGGGAAAAACAGGCTATGCGACCACGATTCATGTTTTCCTCAAACTTGACTTCGGGTGTATATTTTTAAGAAAAATAGGTTCAAATACTCCATTGATACTTAAATGTCATTTCCAATATTACAACGTTTCTTTTGCCTTTCAGTATGTTATAGAATCATATTCGAAAATCAAAAGGATATTAGTACAAAAACAAACTGCGGTGTCACTGTAATGTCCTTGGGACAAACTAGGCCTATCCATCCACCCGAGATAAAGCAAGAGATATCCTCTTCAAGAATAGCAAGAAAGGAAGTACTCAGAGATAGCGACCTGGCTGAGTCAACATAGTTTCTGTTTAAATGGGATGCCTTCCAGATTTAGATTCTTTTATCAGTGACCCTACAACAGTGTGTGAGTGTGTGTGTGCGCGTGCGTGGAGTTATTTTCAAACCCACACTTAGTTCCTCATAGTAATTTCTTTACAATTAGCATCCACGACCAAGATCATTAATTTAGCAAACCAACGATAACCTAAATGTTGGTTTTATGTGTTTCTGGCGTTTATTTCGATGAAAAGGTGAAAAATGGTCAGGTATTTCACCTGACTGGTGTGTTGATGTCATATTTCAATACCTTGATCAAATGGAGATGTATGACTTTGATAATGACACATAGAGGGAGTGAGTGAGTTTATTTTTACGCCGCACTCCGCAATATTCCAGCTATATGGCGGCGGTCTGTAAATAATCGAGTCTTGACCAGACAATCCAGTGATAAACAGCATGAGCATAGATCTACGCAATGGGGAACCGATGACATGTGTCAATCAAGTCAGCGAGCCTGACCACCCGATCCCGTTAGTCGCCTCTTACGACAAGCAATGGTTACTGAAGATAAATATTCTTACCCGGATCTTCACGGGTCAATGACACATAGAATAACTAAATCTTCACCTTCGTAACTGAATGAAACTCAGCCCCTAAGGGACCGTTCCTAATTTATGGCTGGGCGGTAGGGGGTTTGGGGGGTGATGATGATTTTTCTGGAGAAGCATGTACATTGTGAGTGGCCCCCCTTAAGTGTATGTACAAAGGTAAGTGAGTGAGTTTAGTTTCACGCCCCACTCAGCAATATTCCAGCTATATGGCGGCGGTCTGTAAATAATCGAATCTGGACCAGACAATCCAGTGATAAACAGCATGAGCATAGATCTACGCAATGGGGAACCTATGACATGTGTCAATCAAGTCAGCGATTGCATGTTATGTACAAAATCAATACCCCCCTTCCCCATCCCATACCTTTTAAGCATAGGTTTTTAAGATTATTATGTACAAAATCGCTAACCCCCCGCACCCTAAAGTTGATGCACCCCATACCTCCACAGAACAAAATGCGTGACCCCCTACCCCCCCTATCCCCATTGCAAAAGAATATCCTACCTGGTTTTTCATTTGCCACAACATGCATTTAAAGCTATGACGTCACTAGTTTCAGCTTTAGATATCTGTAATGAATTCGCAGTTCCTAACCTACGTTATATAATGCCAATTATATGCTCATGAATTAGTTCTGAGCATGTGGATTACGAATGGACTGGCTACAAGGATGGAACAACATGTTGGTGCAGTTCGAATATATGGGCCCGGTCAAATGTGGTGCGGATGGCTTGAAGTTCCAGATTTTCCTGTTATATTAATCTAATGCATATTTGTTTCGAATTTAATTTGATATTCAGACTCATATCATTATTGTGCAATGTTGTTTCTGAAATTGCAAGTGTAACCGAACTTTCGTGAAAGGGACATTAAACTACGTTTATAACGAACATAAATATAACGAACTAGTACTGTTTCTTTGGTCCCCGCCGTTTGCTGCATATTGTATTAAAATGTGTATACAGAATTACGGTTATACCGAACTCCGGTTATACCGAATTGAAATGAGTGATCTCTTTGAGTTCGTTATCACCGTTATTTAGTTTAGATACCTCGAACATTATTTGTATTTGATTATTCGTGTACGTTATCCTCAAGGTGTATAATTACGCTACATGACTTTCCTCTTCTCTGTAACCACATGCACTTCCACTTAAATCATTTCAAACCGTGCTTATGTTTTTATCAGGGCGGGTTTATCTTATCTTAAATTTCTAATAGACATATTTGCGGGGTCCTCAAGCTAAAAGTAAGTAGAATCTGTACTGTACAGAGAAAATGTAATCCTAAACATAACATTGGTTACATCCATTGTAAACAATTAATAAATGAACATAGGTTTTCACTTCTGAAATTAACATGTTTATCGTAGGTATATAATTCAAAAACATTTATGACCCGTGAAGAAATATTTTGTTTTTGTTTACTCCTGATTTGATATGACTGTTGATAACATTTGATATGTATTTCATCTGGAGCTTCTTCCTGTATCCGGACCCGTGAAGATCCGGGTTAGAATTGGTCTTCAGCAGCCCATGTTTGTCGTAACGGGCTCGCTGACTTGGTTGACACATGTACAGCCTCGATTATTTACAGACCGCCGCCATATAGCTGGAATATTGCTAAGTGCGGCGTAAAGGTCACTCACTCACTCACTTACTCAAAAACATCTTCAAAATTACGTAGTTTATCGCACGGGCAGTGAACAATATCATAACTCGTCACAAGTCTTAGTGAGACTGTACATGTAACTAATTTATCTTCTTTCCAAGTATAAACAAGAAGGTGAATATTTCAGTTGATGATATGAAAATATTTCTCCGTTAGATTCATATCGTGACAGTCTGCAAGAACTCATCGGCCTATCGACATCAAGCACAGTGCTGGTGGCGTCAGCAGTCGCCCTGATAATATCGGCTGTATGCCTCCTCAGTCGCAAGAACAATCCTTCCGACCCCGAACCCCCTTTTCCTGTCTCGACGTGCAGGAGGACGTCGTTTTCAGGATGAACTTTTCCATTCATGTTACCTCACACAGCTTTCATTAAAACTATCGTACATCCAAATGTTCTTTATTTATTTTTGCACCGTGAAGTTGTGGGCACATGTGGTATGAATGGATGATGTGTATTTTAACGCCGCACTCAGCAATATTCCACTTATATGGCGGCGGTCTGTAAATAATCGAGTCTGGACCAGACAATCCAGCGAATAACAACATGAGCATCGATCTACGCAAATGAGATATCAGCGAGCCTCACCACCCGATCCCGTTAGTCGCCTCTTACGGCAAGCGTGGGTTGTTGAAGACCAATTCTAACCCGGATCTTCACGGTTCTTTATTCACACAAAACATTTGAGACGAGCAGTGTGAATACCATGTGGATTCTCAACAGCACAAAGGATTTGATATTCAAAAACGGACCGAATGATTTTTCAACTTTGTACACACCACAACACAACACAACACAACACAACAAGTCAAACCAAAGGAAAAACTTCATTCATTGATCCATGGGGCATTTGTTAATAAACGTTGTGAACAAAGATATACTCAAGTAAACAAATAAGGGAACACATGAAAGTACAAGTGTTCCTTTATTCATTTCCAGGTTTCTTCACAAGTATATATTGCACTGTGGGTGAAATTCTGAAATAAATAAAGGAACACTTGTACTTTCATGTGTTCCCTTATTCGTTTCCATGAGTATATACACTAAACGCCAAAAGAAACGTTACCCTCCTACTTTTATGAAGTACTTAAAAACTATCAAAGATATGTTAGAAGGTATTAGTTTACAAGAAAGCTTAACAACACAGCTTTATGCAAATCATGAAAAAAAATTCTCAAATGCATTCATATTTAGGTGAAATGCAATTATTATTATTATCCAGAAGAGTTAACTTGTCCTATTTTCGTCCATGCTGAAATAAACCAATAACAGTGGTTTAAATGTCCAAAAGAAAGGTTGAAATAAAATTCTGTTTTGGGACAAATATAAACCATTGAAAGTCACCATTTTCAACTATTAAAACAAGAAACAACTGCTGTAGAGTGTGTAAAATTGTAAAATAATCATTCCTGTGATTTCAGTCTTTTAAAACACTTTCTGCTGATTTGCATTAGTGAAAACAAGTAAAACGTGGTTTTGATATTGTGAAAAATGTTTAGGAACATCTAAAATTATCTTTGTTAACATTTTTATTTGCAAAGTAACATTTTTCCATTTTCTGTTTACACATAGCAATACCAATCGGAAAAACGCAGCAATATTTAAGCAGTATTTGCATCCATTTCACATGTAGAATGATTCTAAAGGGTATGAAGAGAGCCAAGAATACATGATATGATACACAAGTACGAGAAATATTCCACGATTAACAGCTGAAGAGTGAGAAAGAACCATTGGGATGGTGCAGATGGGGCCCACATACAGTGCTGTTGCCAACGCCCTCGGATGCCACCGTATGACGGTTATAAGATTAATTCAGGGCTTCAGACAGACTGGGGTCACCGTAGACAGACCAAGAAGTGGACGTCCACGCATTACAACGCCACCTGAAGACAGGTACCTCCGTCATTAAGGAAGGAGGGTAACGTTTCTTTTGGCGTTTTGTGTATGTACGTATCTATGTTCAGAGGTTCAGGACAATTTGTCAAAAAATGAAATAAAACTTTAGCTGAGATTTACTGAGAAAAACAAAATGTGAAATGCAGGATTTCTTTATTGATAACGTCTATGTAAAATTGAGGGCAAACAAGAAGTCAAAGGGCCGAACTGAGCTGTATGACAAAAGGGATTATTTGAACTTTCATTTGACCACCTTGAAATTTCATGAGTTTTATGTGTGATTTCAAATCTCGTATACGAAACGTAAAATTATCATCATTACCGTCATTTTCTAAATTAACATTATCGTCATCTTATAATATCAATAATAATAATAGATATACCTACACCCTATTTTCACAAGAATTGTCAGACAATATATGCCAACACCATGGTTCTTCCATCAATCGGTAATATTTACCAATTATACTGAGAGGTTTTTTGTTTGTTTTTGACGTGGACGGTGGTTGCGCTTCATGACAGTATTGTATTGTGAAACGTGCACACATCTATATATTTGTCAGGTACACGCTAATGATGACAACAAAACATTCTGTGGTTGCCTTAGCGACGCACATAGGAAATAATCTCAATGTCAATGTTGATTTCGTTGATAGATCTGTGTACACAGATGAGTGTCAGGCAGCGAGGTGCCACATCGAATTGTCAGACCAAGGGCAACGAGAACAATTGAGAACAATCGCTAATAATTTCTAATAAACTGTACATTAACCATTTCAACTAGTTTACCCTGAACCCCATATTTCACACTCATACAGAATTATTGATTTTACCGCAGTGCAAAACAGATTAAGTTGACACTTTAAAGAAAGGCTGCATAAACGTGCCTACAAAGTATTTATGTTGTGTGGTCACACAGAGCTTTAACAGATTTCTATATAAAAAAATTGTTTTAAAAAATTACCGAGATATTTATGTACCTCCACAAAAGTCAAATTGACGAGACGTTGAAATACACGTTTTGTCCGTTTGTCTCCTAATGAGAACGATGCATTGCAAAATAGGGAACAGTATTGAAATTGTCAGAACGATACATGGCAATGAATGAAATATCCGATGTTTGTTCTTTTGTGGTCTTTTTGTACCCATCACTGGAAATAAGTTGTTAATGAAACTACCAAGTTGTTAACACTGGAAATAGGTTGTTAATGAAACTACCATGTTGTTAACACTGGAAATAGGTTGTTAATGAAACTACCACTGAACACTGGAAATAGGTTGTTAATGAAACTACCATGTTGTTAACACTGGAAATAGGTTGTTAATGAAACTACCATGTTGTTAACACTGGAAATAGGTTGTTAATGAAACTACCATGTTGTTGTGTGTACAAATTACGAACTATAGTCGTAAAAGGAAAGGCTGTCGTAAATTTATCTATTTACTTTTAAGAGATAAAACATTTATATTTAAATATTGCTCGTGCTTCTAGCCCCTTTAGTATCAGAGAAAATATTACAAAAGTTACCAAAGTACACATATGCATAGTATCTCGTTATCAACACTTTCAGACTACCTACAGTCAGTGATTAAATATTTAATTGGTATCTTACCACGTCTCTCCAGACTATCTGAGTGTGTGAGATTTAGTTTTACGCCGCTTTTAGCAATATTCCATCAATATCACGGCGGGGGACGCCAGAAATAAGCTTCACACATTGTACCCACGTGGGGAATCGAACCCGGGTCTTCAGCGTGACGAGCGAACGCTTTAACCACTAGGCTACCCCACCGCCCCCTACATACAGATTGTAGTAAAACAACATGCTGAGATGATATAGATGGTTAAATGATTATCATGTGTACATGAGCAGTGGAAAAAACCTGACCACAGGTTGAAATCAAAGCCTGTTGTCCTTGTAACATAATTTACATTTGGGACTACACTCATTTGAGTCCCAAAAAGGATTCGAATCCATTACGTCAGATTTAATCACCAAATCGCCAGCACACAGTCAGCGATCCACTGACCCAGGGGTATGACAGTGCGGGTTCGAATCCAGGATTAGACTCAACCCAACAAAAACTATAATCTGTATTTTACGGAGAATGTGTAATTCAAATATAACACATGTTACAATAACCACTTTCTAATTAATTTTCGTTCTGAAGTTCTGAGTGATATTGCTACAAGGACAATCAAAGCTGTGATTTATAACTCTGTGTGATATGGAATCTGCAACTAATTGCAGTCTAGTTCAAGACGCCATGGTCGTAATATATAGTTGTGTACGCTGATACACTGAACATCTTCCTCCACAGCGATCACGACTTCCCCGACGGAGACATCACTCACAAGACGAGTTTATCAACATGGACGCCGCACCCCAGCATCAGCCGCTCCACCGTGTACGGCGCCACTGGAAACGTAGATACACATGATGAAACACACAACCCTGTGCAGATCGACCACCGAGAGTGCCGAAATGATACGATAAAATATGGTACTTAATGTTACCCACCCTTGTGCTTGGCATTTGGGAATAAATTTCTTTTAAAAACTCCTCGGAGTCAGTATAATATGTCTAAGTGATTAATCCACTTGAAATTGCAACATAGCTTCTTTGTACACAATATATGTTGTTTTAGTCACGATATGGCTGAAATATTGCCAAAGTGACTTTAAATTTTAACTCACTCACTCACTCTTTGTACACAAATCAGCATGTTATCCTATACAGTTGGAAAATTGCAGAGTGCAGCTTAAATAACAAACACGCACACACAAAAACCCACACAATCACTTGATTATGTGGTCCACACTCAATTGTTTACTGACCGCTGTCACACAGCTGGAAAATAGCGTTAAATAACAAACATAAATAGCAAACACACAAACATTCACTGGATTGTCTAATACTCACTAGATTATCAAAAGACCGCCGACATACAGTTGGAATATTGCTGAGTGCAGCGTTAAATAACAAACATAAATAACAAACACACAAATATTCACTGGATTGTCTAATACTCACTGGATTATTTACAGACCGGCGACATATAGCTGGAATATTGCTGAGTGCAGCGTTAAATAACAAAAACATAAATAACAGACCGGCGACACATAGCTGGAATATTGCTGGAGTGCAGCGTTAAATAACAAAATATTCACTGGATTGTCTAATACTCACTGGATTATTTACAGACCGGCGACATATAGCTGGAATATTGCTGAGTGCAGCGTTAAATAACAAACATAAATAACAAACACACAAATATTCACTGGATTGTCTAATACTCACTGGATTATTTACAGACCGGCGACATATAGCTGGAATATTGCTGAGTGCAGCGTTAAATAACAAACATAAATAACAAACACACAAATATTCACTGGATTGTCTAATACTCACTGGATTATTTACAGACCGGCGACATATAGCTGGAATATTGCTGAGTGCAGCGTTAAATAACAAACATAAATAACAAACACACAAATATTCACTGGATTTGGAGTGCAGCGTTAAATAATACTCACTGGATTGATTCATTATTTTACAGACCGGCGACATATAGCTGGAATATTGCTGAGTGCAGCGTTAAATAACAAACATAAATAACAAACACACAAATATTCACTGGATTGTCTAATACTCACTGGATTATTTACAGACCGGCGACATATAGCTGGAATATTGCTGAGTGCAGCGTTAAATAACAAACATAAATAACAAACACACAAATATTCACTGGATTGTCTAATACTCACTGGATTATTTACAGACCGGCGACATATAGCTGGAATATTGCTGAGTGCAGCGTTAAATAACAAACATAAATAACAAACACACAAATATTCACTGGATTGTCTAATACTCGCTGGATTATTTACAGACCGGCGACATACAGATGGAATATTGCTGAGTGCTGGATTTCATTTACAGACCGCCGACATACAGATGGAATATTGCTGAGTGCTGCGTTAAACAAACAAACAAACCTTCCTTTATTATTGGTGCTGAAAGCATCAGTACGCAAACAATACCAACTGCTGAGTGCAGCGTTAAATCACAAACACACAAACAAGGAAGCGTGTCAGACTGTTACCTGTTGGCTGGAACTCTTTGTTTGACGTCAGATCAAACCTGGCCGCTTCCATGGCCTGTTTCAACGCGAACAGTGCTCCAGTAGCTAAGACAATGGGAGGCTCACCGGTAGCTGGAGAAATACATAGTAAGGGATAACCGTGATGTGAAACCTCTGATCGACCAATCACAGTATAGACAACTATGGGAGAACGATACCAGAGTTCACTACAGTTTATTTGGTTATTCACATAACATTCCACCCGTGAAGATCCGGGTTAGATCTTCAGTAACCCATGCTTGTCGTAACAGGCGACTAACGGGATTGGGTGGCCTGGCGCGCTGACTTTGTTGACACATGGCATCGTATCCTAGTTGCGTAGATCGATGCTCATGACGTTTATCACTGGATTGTCTGGTCCAGACTCGATTATTTACAGACTGCCGCTATATAGCTGGAATATTGCTGAATGTGGCGTTAAACAACAAACAATATAATTTTGAGGATTGACATTCTTACCCTTCGATGCTTTAACGCCATAGGGATTTGGCGCATCTGGCAACATTTTGATGCGAATGTCCACGGGAATGTCTTTAGTTGTCGGGGGCTTGTATTCCTGTGGAACATTAATGTAGACGTGTCTTCGTTCATAGTACAAAGAAACTGACCCTTTACTTGCCTAGGTTTGGGTTTTGGATGTGGGGTTGAAGAGTTTTCTGTAGTGGGGTTGTGTGTTATTGTCGGGGGGAAAGAGCTTTTTATATCATAAATACAAAACGTTTATTTCTCAGAAAACGAATGAGTGAATGAGGTCAGTTTTGATATAACGGTAGTGGAAACCAGAAACGTGCTTTACACATTGCACTCATGTCGGGAATTGAATCCAGGTCTTCGGTGTGACGGGCGAACGCTTTAACCACTGGGCTACCCCACCGCCCCGTTAAGAATCGAAGAGCAAAATATTTTATATTCAGTAAAACGACATGTCCGGCAAACAAACAAGTTCATAAAGGTAGTTATACCCGTGAAGATCCGGGTTAGAATTGATATTCAGTAACCCATGCTTGCCGTGAGAGGCGACTAACGGGGTCGGGTGGTCAGACTTGGTTGACACATGCTGTATATCACTGGATTGTCTGGTCCAGACTCGATTATTTAAAGACCGCCGCCATATATCTGGAATATTGCTGAGTGGGGCGTAAAACTGAACTCACTCACTCTTAAAGGTATTTTATGCTTTGAGTCATAATTAGCTCATAATGCTTGACAATGTGTACTTTTCACATCCATACTGAAGAAAGCGAAGAAATCTACAGTCTCACCCATGTTCCGTCAGTCAGCACAGCCCCTGTCTCCGGGTCGTAGATGATGTTCTCCGTCAGCAGGTTCCCCAACCCCATCACATAGGCACCCTCGATCTGACCAATATCGATGGTGGGGTTCAGGCTGCAAGTTCGGACATTTCATGTTTACATACAGTTTAAAATACTACACATAAAAGTTAAATGAGGATTTAAAGAGCATTCCTTTCCGATTTAAAAATTACAAAATCAAAATACATACTTTAAGTGTTGTTTAAATGGTTTCATTTTTCCATTTAAGAAAATTTTGTATACGGGTGGTGTTACCGGTAGGGCAGACAGACCTACCCTCTTCATAGTTGTTATAAAGGAAAACACCTGGTGTCATCACTGATCATTTGGGCATGTCATTTATTTTCACAGCTATTTTTTCCTTTAAAACCAAACTGAATTTGTTTCTGAAGACTAGTCAAGACTGGGTATTCTTTTGCACTGACGTTCTATATTTCATTATTTTCTTTATTTGTTCTATAGTTTCCCCAAAGTATATATATCATATATTTATATCGGAAAACATAACATCAATTTAGGGAAACTGTAACTGGACAATAATCCACTGTGTTCATTTAGATGAGACAGACAGGTTATTCTGTCATTGACGTTTTGAATTAACTGAGACAGGTTATCCTGTCATTGACGTTTTGAATTAAATGAGACAGGTTCATTGTACGTTTTGTCATTGACGCTTTTGAATTAAATGAGACAGGTTATCCTGTCATTGACGACAGGTTATTTGTAAATTATTAATGAGACAGGTTATCGACAGATTGACTGTGAGACAGGTTATTGACGTTTGAATTAACTGAGACAGGTTATCCTGTAACGTTTTGAATTAACTGAGACAGGTTATCCTGTCATTGACGTTTTGAATTAAATGAGACAGGTAATTCTGTCATTGACGTTTTGAATTAAATGAGACAGGTTATCCTGTCATTGACGTTTTGAATTAAATGAGACAGGTTATTCTGTCATTGACGTTTTGAATTTAATGAGACTTGTCATTGACGTTTTGAAGTAACTGAGACAGGTTATCCTGTCATTGACGCTCTTTCAGAATTCCTGTCATTGACGTTTTGAATTAACTGAGACAGGTTATTCTGTCATTGACGTTTTGAATTAAATGAGACAGGTTATCCTGTCATTGACGTTTTGAATTAAATGAGACAGGTTATCCTGTCATTGACGTTTTGAATTAACTGAGACAGGTTTTCTGTCATTGACGTTTTGAATTAACTGAGAGGACAGGTTAGTTTCTGTCAGTGACGTTTTGAATTGAATGGAGACAGTTTTGATTGACGTTTTTAACTGAGACAGGTTATTCTGTCAGTGAAGTTTTGAATTAAATGAGACAGGTTATCCTGTCATTGACGTTTTGAATTGATTGAGACTGGTTATTTTCTGTCATTGACGTTCTAAATTTCCACAGTACGTTAGTACCAACCTCTCCCCACAGTCGAAGAGTATGTCCACCCTCCGGACCTGGTTCTCCCCCGTGAGGACGTCCAGCTCCACCTCCGTCACCCCCACGCAGTACGTGAAGTAGTGGAACTCTCCAGGACCTTCCTTCTTCTTTGGGGCAGATCTGGGACACAGGGAGTGAGTGAGTATGGTTTTACGCCGCTTTAGCAATATTCAAGCAAAATATCACGGCGGAAATGGTCTTCCCGCAATGTTCCCATTTTGGGAATCGAATCCGGGTCTTCCGTGCGAAAGCTTTAACCACTCGGCTGCCCTACCGCTCCGGGACACAGAGTAAACATGATGCGCTTGAGACGGGTTTTATATGCGTCTTGTGGCAATTCACTCGCGTATTCAGTGAATCGAACCATATACCTTCATGAGTTGAATTCGTCCGTGCAGATACATTGCTGGAGAGACAATATATCAACAGGAACCCCTATATAACGTTGTAAAAGTGAAATCGTTTCCATCTATCTATTCCTCAAAAGAAGAACACCCGATTCTAATATATAACTACAAATATATAGTTCATCTGCCAAGCGTGAGTTTAGCTTTACACCGCTTTTAGCAATATTCAAGCAATATCACGGCTAGGGACACCAGAAAAGGGAATCTGTCATGACATCGCTGGTTAACTACAGTGATATGTTAGAATTGGGTGTTCTTTGACTCAGGTCATGACAGAGTTACTGCAGTTAGGTTCCACAACATCGTTTGAGTATTATATAAACTTACTTGTGCTTTGCTGTCAGCTCTATTCCCGCCAGGTCACACGCTTTCACCAACGCCTCCCAGTCAGATTCAGGGTTGGCCTCACGGATTGGTGCCATTCTTTCTTTCAGGATCTCACAACACTTCAAGGCAGACTGCAGGACAGGTAGTGCTGGTTATAACCATTTACATCCTCGGCAATCAAGGGTATTGTGTATTCACTCTACTACGATAGATTAAAGACCCTCAAACCAATTGTTTTGATTCCGCTTTGAATAACAAATGCTGAAACTAACTGTCCAATCAAATAAGTTGTTAGAATTTTTTGTAAAGGGCGCGTAACTCTTACTCAGACATTTGAATGCGTATCAATATATAAAGTATACATACACAAACGCGTTTCTTAATCTTACACAGTAATATCTCCTCTCACCATGACAGATGTTTCACTGGCCGTACTTCCTCCAGTCAGAAAGCTGTTGGCTGTTGTGTGAGACTGGTTTGGCAGGACCTTCACCTTGCTCACGGGAATGCCGAGGGTCATGGCCACCGCTTGCGCAACCTACAGAGGAAATACAGTCAACTCTCGTTAATCCGACACTTGTGGTTGCAGAGAAATATGTCGGATTAATGAAAATGTCGGATTAATGTATTTGTGTGAAAATATCAATGTTTACTAAATGTCATGATCGTCATACTGTTGCATGCATATCAGAAATGGTAGATCTAGTTATCTTCATCGTACGTAAAAATATTCACAGAAATAAAAAATACTAACAATACATACTTGTTATCATTTATTAGCATTCATAGATGGCATAACATACATATATAATCACGTAAGCGAACAGTTTCATATCTATTTCATGACCACATTGGCACAAAACTCACGTTTGTTTTTACCGCATATCAGCTGCCATTATGACCCGGATGTTGAATATGTTACAGTTTCCATACAACTAATTCCATAATAACATGTGGACGTCTAATGTACAATCAGGCGTTTGTCGGATTAACGTGATTGTCGGATTAATGAGTGTCGGATTAACGAGAGCTGACTGTACTTGTATTGTATAGCATTGTATTAAGTTGCACTGTATTGTACTGAATTAACAGAATTCTTTTGGATATATTGAACAGTAAGGCATTGGGTGAGTGAGGTGATTAGCAATACTCGAGCAATATCACTGCGGGGAATACAAGAAATGGGCTTCACACATTGTACTCATGTGGGGAATAGAATCCGGGCATTCAGCGAGACGAACGAATGCTTTAACCACTGGGCTACCCCACCGCCCTTCTAAGGCATTGCTTTGTATTGGATTGCTTTAATGTTTTGTATAAATGCATTGTATTGTATTCGTAGTATTGTAAGGCATGGTATTCGGGATTATATTTCGAACTCCGTTTGCTCATAACATCAACCTCTAGTCTCTCTTTTCTTGAATCAAATGTTTACCAGCCTGGAATATTGTACAGTACGTCTGTGACCTACATTATTTAGCTCTCTCTTGTGAGTGAGTGAGTGAGTGAGTTTTACACCGATTTCATTATTTTCTAGAAATTGGCTTCACTTATTGCACCCACGAGTGAACGCTTTTACGACTAGGCTAGCCCACCGCCCTATTGGCGTCAATTATTTAATTATATTGTATTCGGATGTCATGCAATTGATGTAATTGTATTTAACTTATTGCGTTGTTTTGCAGTGGTATATATTGTATTACAGTTGATACAATTGCATCTACAAAGAGGAAGTGAAACTGACAAATATATCTACATACCTTGGTGAATAAACCCTGCCCCATCTCAACGCCTCCCTGGACGACGGTAACGGTGCCGTCTCGGGCGTAGATGGCAACGTCGACGGTATGGCCCGGACCCATGTACACAAACCCATACTTCACAGGCGTCATCGTCAGCCCACGTTTCTTCCATTGGTTAGCCTAAGTATTGTAATGTTTATTAGTGAGTGAGTGAGTGAGTATGGTTTTACGCCGCTTTTAGCAATATTCGTGCAATATCACGGCTGGGGACACCAGTAATGGGCTCACACATTGTATCCATGTGGGGAATCCACCTGGATCTTCAGCGTAACGAGCGCACGCTTTAACCACTAGGCTAGCCCACCGTCCCAATATTTATCAGAAAGTTTATGAGTATGCAATTAATGACTGTGTACCTTTCACTAGTTACAAATTTCCTGCAGCATTTCAGCAATATAGTAAAAGTAACAAATACTTAATAAATATAGTGAGTGAGTTTAGTTTTACGCCAAACTCAGCAATATTCCAGCAATATTGCGGCGGTCTGTAAATAATCACATTTGGACCAGACAATGCAGTGACCAACATCATGAACATGGTTCTACGCAATTTGGATAAGATGACATGCGAGCGAGCCTGTCCACCCGATTCTTTTAGTCGCCTCTTAGCAAGGGTTACTGAATATCAATTCTAACGCGGATCTTTACGGGTTCATAATAAATACATGTACATAATGTACACTCCTGTCATGAAAGCACAGTAAGCTGTTTTTAAAACTAGTATGTAATCATAAAACGGTATCCTCATCTTTAACAATTACTGATAAAAACGTGCTATAGATCGATTGAAACTTAAGGCAGATCACCTTACCATAGGGACTTACAATACCTTTGCTACCTGCAGTGTCCGGCCTTGTCATAATGTATTATACTGTGAAGCATTTCGAGTCGAGGGTCATCTCAAAATTTTGTATATATTTTAAAACTTCTATTCATGCTCGCAAAGTCACGAGGATCTGTGACTCATAGACATTCCTTGAACTTCCGTACAAAGTGAGCAAGAAGCATAGGCGCATCCAGAAATTTTCAAAGGGGGGTTGGGGTTTCATCTTGGCTCTGCCATTGCAAAACATTAACTTCAATGTGGTCTTTAGTCATTTTCAACACAAAAAAAGGGGGGGGAGAGGTCGAACCCCCTGAACCCCCCTCTGGATTCGCCACTGAGAAGAAATACCACGTTTGTTAACAACGCGCCTGCTACAAAGTTAACCATCACATCACGCCCATGAATCATTTTATCAGCTCCTCACTTTTCAGAGGAGAGAATATCACGTCTTCAGTGCAGTCAAAATTAAAGACTCGGTCATGAAAACTACTATGGATTTAGGGAACATTTGTGGGGTATATATGCGTGTACTTTGTCTTGCTACGACACTTTTCGTAAAATCAGTACAACTCATGTACATTAATTGATTTAATTTTATTTTCAAATCGGTCGGCAAAACATCAAGGTATAAGATAGGTCCATCTGTACGTTACTGGTGAAGAAGGAATTTCAGTGTAAGAGAGCTACAGTACCTTGTTGAAGCTGTTGACCTCGTTCTGGCGTCTCGCAACATCCCCCCACTGCTGTAGGTCAGTCCACAGTTTTCTCAAGGTGCAGTAGGTCAGTTCATGTCCACGCAGGTCAGTCTGAAAATAATACAAAACAAACAAAATAATAAGAAGAAATAATAAGTGCATTTATACTGCGCTAAATTTAGGTGAATGCTCATAGCGCTGACAACCAAAGCACAGCACATTATTACCCCGGATAAGCCAAGCTGCCTGTGAGGCGCCAGAAGGTTAATAGTAACATGACTACCACCGGGTACCCATTTTCTGCTGGGTGAACAGGGGCAATTGTGAACAAACTCACTTGCCTAAGCTGGACCACATGTATCACATGTGTTTCTTTGTGGGGCAGGACTGAAGACTCTCAGGAGTCAAGTTGTGATTGAAATTTTACTTCTCAGTCGGTTGACAAATGCGGTATGGTGCGCATGAGAAATACAAAATGACTTTATTTAAGTAAATAGTGGGGAATGTAGCGAGGGTTGATGAAGCTGGTTTCTATTTTGTCTCGGAAATTATTCATCCCAGATCATCCTCCATCCTAGACCCTAAATCCGTGTAGATCAGGCATGTAAAGCGACGCAATTTGCTGTGTGCAGTTGCGTCCCTTGGGCACGCCAGGAATCTATGAATTTGGGTTCGAATGCCACTTCGCCCCGACTATGTTGTCATCAAAGTGGTCAATCTCATTAAGCGGTGCAAAAATACACTCACCTATCCTGTGATAACCTACCTGGCCGACCTTGTATAGGTTCAGCTCTTTGATCTCCAGGGCGTTCCGACTGAGATGCTTGGCCACGTGCTCCAACACAGACTCGATGATGAGACCAGCAGGGAAAGGGCCTTTACATATAAATAATTAGGAATTGGCATACATCGTGGAGTAGAAGGCAAATATTTACACACATGTATGGTGTACACATGGCTAAAATGATTTGTACTTTAGGAATGTCGATCGTATTTCGCCGTACAGTACTCCAGTTTCCGGAAGTCGCTGAGCATACTGCTGGATACCATTTATGTGCACGCAATGTTGAAATCTTTTTCATCCCCTTCTTACTAAGACTAACCAATTAATAGTTAAGCCTTTGACTTATGAGGATGCAAATTCATACATTCTACATGAAAATGCTTTTCACATTTTACATATCGGTACGGATACGTTTGAGGCGTAAACAACTACGTCATCACCTACGTACATGAAATTACTGTCAAAATAACTGTCAATTAATCGAGAAAATAAGACTACCAAAGTTGATGATTAGAAAGCACCTTCTCCAACGCAGATAATAATGTTATATACAAGTGTAAGAATCTACGTAAATGAACGCATCTTCTACGTAAATGTAAGTATCTTCTACGTAAAGGCAAGTATCTTCTACGTAAAGGCAAGTATCTTCAATGTAAATGTAAGTATCTTCTACGTAAAGGCAAGTATCTTCTACGTAAATGTAAGTATCTTCTACGTAAAGGTAAGTATCTTCTACGTAAATGTAAGTATCTTCTACGTAAAGGCAAGTATCTTCTACGTAAATGTAAGTATCTTCTACGTAAATCTTCTACGTAAAAGTATCTTCTACGTAAAGGTAAAAGTATCTTCTACGTAAAGGCAAGTATCTTCTACGTAAAGGCAAGTATCTTCTACGTAAAGGTAAGTATCTTCTACGTAAATGTAAGTATCTTCTACGTAAAGGCAAGTATCTTCTACGTAAAGGCAAGTATCTTCTACGTAAATGTAAGTATCTTCTACGTAAAGGCAAGTATCTTCTACGTAAATGCAAGTATCTTCTACGTAAAGGCAAGTATCTTCTACGTAAAGGCAAGTATCTTCTACGTAAATGTAAGTATCTTCTACGTAAAGGCAAGTATCTTCTACGTAAATGTAAGTATCTTCTACGTAAATGTAAGTAAATGTAAGTATCTTCTACGTAAAGGCAAGTATCTTCTACGTAAATGTAAGTATCTTCTACGTAAATGTAAGTATCTTCTACGTAAAGGCAAGTATCTTCTACGTAAAGGCAAGTATCTTCTACGTAAATGTAAGTATCTTCTACGTAAAGGCAAGTATCTTCTACGTAAAGGCAAGTATCTTCTACGTAAATGTAAGTATCTTCTACGTAAAGGCAAGTATCTTCTACGTAAATGTAAGTATCTTCTACGTAAATGTAAGTATCTTCTACGTAAAGGCAAGTATCTTCTACGTAAAGGCAAGTATCTTCTACGTAAATGCAAGTATCTTCAATGTAAATGTACGTATCATCAACGCAGATGCTATGATTGGCTAATACGCCTATTCGATTGTAATGCAGGGGTGTGGGGGTGTTCGTGGTCTTCTAGCTGCCACTGTGATATAAGTCATTATCACCTGGTGCTCTCATGCTGGTGTTTGTCGGTGTGTCCGTCTTGCAAGCGATCACCTTGATTCTCCAGTTAGGGATGTGGTAACCTGGCAACAGAATGTACAAGAGAATCAAAGAATACTATCCGTTTCACGCTTTGGTGATATTCACCTGTTGTTTGTTTGCTTAACGCTGCAATCAGCAAGATTTCAATATATAGGGTAGTCTGTAAAACAATTTAAGTCTTGACAGACAATCAAGTGGTTGATAGCACTAGCAACTAGCCACGCATCGGGTGTCATCACGTGTCATAAGATAGATTTGCATTCCTAAACCGATTCCTTATTCAGAATTGCGGTTATTATCAGGATTCCCTCTTACGACCAACATGTTGGGATGGGGGTAATTCTATGCCGGAATCCACACATTTCATGTGAAGCATTAAACGAAGTATCTTGCTATGCGTTCCTTTATTTGTTTATTGTCAGTATATTCATGAGAATACGCCATCGACAAACCTTGATCCAACGTCATCATAATTTCATTGAAAAATAACGCTGAGTTAGGGGAGCAGCCCCCGTCGCAGTACACGTCTACGCTGACCACGTTGACACGCCCTGCTTCGTCAAAACCAACCTGGGACAGAGATAATTAAAACATCTGTAACATATGATAGCCAGTTTTTGTTAGAAGGGTACTTTCTGTAATATCGTTGGTCACTGATTTGGGGGACGGTAAACATCTTTGTATACATTATTTCACTCGACCAAGCCACTAGTAATGGAAGGGTTTATATCATGACAAAATGGCAACTTCCTTGGTGTATATAATATATTAAATTTCATTTAAACCACTGCGCATTGATATGAGTATTCATAAATCCACAGCAACTAAAGTCTGTTTGCAGTGAAAACGTAAGGATGAATTACACTCTAAACAAAAGCTTAGATCACATAAAGTGAAATTAAGACTGCGAATCCTCATAAGTTTACCTTGAACATTTAAATTTAAGAATTTTATTCAACTTAGGATAAAAGTTGTTCAACAAACGACCATAGTTTCAAATCGTTGTTATTTGTCTGCATTACAAGGGGGTGTGCACATTAAATGAAACACCGAGAACAAGTAGGGTTGGTCTAAGTTAATGCTGATCACGTACCGCACGTGCATTTGTTTCACTGTTCCAACTACTGCGCTTACCCCCTTGAAATACAAAACAATAATAGCGATTTGAATCTATGGTCATTTGTTAAACAACGTTTATCCTAAGTTGAATAAAATTCTTAGATTTAAATGTTTAATTGGCAAGGTAAAATCCTGAGGATTCGCAATCTTAATTTCACTTTATTTGATTTACCTTTTTGTTTAAAGTGAAATTCATCGGTACGTTTTCACTGCAAACAAACTACAGGTGGCGCTACGGGAAGCCAAGTGTCCTGAGTTGCGGTGTAAAGCTTTACAAAACGCTTTTCGTGGGTTCGAATCCCAAAAAGGTCGGTGTATTATCCTTGCCAGTATCATGCAGGTTCCAATACTGTGGTGTGTGGTTACGACTGGACACCGGGTGTTTTATCCCACACAAAGCTTAAGCTCACACGCCGTGAAATGAATCAACAATGTAAACTTACGTCATAATTGGCAAGCATTGGGAACCGCTTTCCAGACATCTTCATGTTCGTCGACATATTTACAGAGATCCTCACTGGTCTATAGAAACAGAGAGGTAGATAAATCAATTAAGGATTGTGTTCTATTTTCGGTTCACTAAGGTATGAATCGAAAACCCGATGCGCAAACTGTATGAATCCGCGTGACGGAAAGGGAATTCCTTCGACTGTATAGCAATTCCCAGGCAGTCTGTAGTGGTGAAAGTAGTGCCCTTTCGAAGGCGTGGGCTGATGTTTTACATTCATTGGGAAATGGAGGCAGTAACCTTTAATTTTACTGTATGAACGAAAATTCCACGACAAATTTGTTACGTACATGATTGAAACTACGTCAATATATGTGTTATAACCACGGCAGAGCTACAGAAAACCTTTTGGGTCACTGAGTTATGTACTCGCTTGTGTTCATCTCAACTGGGTATCCTAATTTTCCTTTGAGTAACCAAATAGATTGTACCCATCTCACTCAAATTCAATTGGGTATTTTGCCATTAATTGTAATAACATAATAAAGTTTAAATGTTGGTTAACATGTTTGTTATCTATATTTGATCTGTAATATGAGAAAAGATAAGAAAGGCTGCAAGTTGCCAAGTTCATGTGCTGAAATAGAGCCTCACAATATACCTCAGTTATTCTATCTATCCTCAGTAACCTCCATCTGTAGCACATGGGTCTGCTTACTTCATATTTTAGTAGGTTTGCTGAATGTTACAGTACGCAAGCTAAGATTTGACATTTTTGTGTGTACGCATGTAAGATCAAATTTATTGAGTTTTTACAAAAAACTCAAGCGTACTTGTACGCAATAGACTTAATAGGAATTGAGTTTTCACATACATATTTGCGTAATTTACGCAGATACGCAGCTTATCTGTACCTCTGCCACGGTCACGAACATCGCCGTTGGCGTCACTGACGATGAGGGGATCAAATGTGTCCTAGACTTCTAAAGCGCAAGAAACGTGATTCGATTCCCAGGATTATGCTATATAGATTTGTCTGAAATATGCCCGTGCTCGTTAGTTTCACGAAAGTTGTAAATGTCTCATACCTGCGTCACTTGGGTTTTAGTGTTCAAGGCGGCGTCTCTCACTGAGGAGGAAAAGCTTACTTTTTGGTCTTGTACGCGGCAACACCAGCGGCAGCAGCTACAGGGATAGAACACAGAGCCTTGCCCCCGAACGATCCACCCAACCGGGGTACTGTCACGATGATGCTGAAAACATGACGGTGACGAGTTAGGTTTAGGGTTAGTTTCATCATAACTGCCATCTAGTTATCACATTTTAGTTATCATTAACGGTGAACTCAGGAACAGAGGGTTCGGGCATATTATCCAACTGTACTAGTACCATTCGAGTGAGTGAGTTTAGTGTTACGCCACACTCAGCAATATTCCAGCTATATGGCGGCGGTCTGTAAATAATCGAGTCTGGACCAGACAATCCAGTGATCAACAGCATGAGCATCGATCTGCGCAACTACGATGACATGTGTCAACTAAGTCAGCGAGCCTGACCACCCGATCCCGTTAGTCGCCTCTTATAACAACATGGGTTACTGAAGATCAATTCTAACCCGGACCTTCACGGGTCAGTACCATTCGACTGTAAACGTACAGTTTGTGATATCACTGTAGATGTACTGCAGCCGTACTGGCCGATATACCTTGGAGGTCTCACATATTTTAATGACTCGTAGCCATGGTTTAATCTGGGTGTTAAAACTGGATACCATCGATTTTAACATACGTATGTATTCTTTTGTTTTGAAAGGGACTGACCATTTTAGAATTCTGATGCGGCATGGGCATATTGGATGGAGGGCCTTTTTCAATCAACACTTCAAGCTCTTCGACCCCGAGCGCCTTCTTAGAATATGTCCCTAATTATGTTATTGGTACTCACTTGTTCATGGGTAACCCCGTAACCATGGAGACAGCTCCCTGCGTCAGTTCACTCGACTGCGTGGATGAGTACACGTCCAATCGCTCTTCTGACGGCACACACACCGTCACCTGGTGGACAGGGGAGATAACACATATACTCCTGTTTGTTTTATTGATTGATTGATTGATTGTCAATCAGCAATTGACCACCTACGTGACGGCGGGCTGGACAATAATCGAGCCTGGACCAGACAGTCCACCGATCATGATCACAGATCCACGCATTTACATCGATGTCATACATCTACCAAGTCAGTAACTACCCAACCCTGTTAGTGGCCTCTTACAAGCCTGGGACCCATGAAGATCCGAGTTAGAATTGGTCTTCAGTATCCCATGCTGGTCGTAATTGCGTAGATCGATGCTCCTGACGTCGATAACTGGATTGTCTGGTCAAGACTCCATTATATACAGTCCGCCGCCATATAGCTGGACTATTCCCGAGTGCGGCGTCAAACAACAAGCCAACCGACCAACTACAAGCCTGGGTTACTGAAGATCAATTCCGACCCGGATCTTCACGGAATGTGTTCCTGACACTATGGGTAGCAGCTCCACCGTGGTTCAAATAAAACAACGACTTCCACATGCATGATGCGAATGCAAACTGATTTTGGGGTTCCAGGTAAGGATATAGGTCCAAGCAACGGACGCTTGTCGAATGGAGACGACTGACAGATGTTCGGTCTCGGAGAATTGGTTGACTGCATAAGTGACTCGATGTTCATAATATCGATCCCCATGAGTGAGTGAGTGAGTTAATAGTTATCGTCACATCGGCAATATTTCAGCCATATCGTGACGAAAATAATTAATTATCATATTAAAGGTCGATCCCAATGAAGAACCGGATCAGAACTGGTATTCACCGACAAATGCAAAAGGTGATAAATGGCATCGGATGGATAGGACATACTTTCTTCGTGCATTGCATAAAAAGGATTTTCTGGGCCCGAGTCGAGTATTTACATACCACCATCCTGTAGCCCAGATAATTCAGAGGGGTAAAACATCAAGCAAGAAAGGAAACCCCTGTTACTTATTGTCGGGGATACGATGATGATGATGATGATGACGATTATGATGACAGCAACGACGATGATGATAATGATGATGGTGACGACGACGACGACGACGACGACGATGATGATGGTGATGGTGATGGTGATGATGATGATGATGATGATGATGATGATGATGATGACGACGACGACGACGAAGTCGCACTGGGCGATCTTTAGCTCACCTGGTTCTCCATATAGAAGTGGTAGTTTGAACCACACCGTGTCGTGCCTCTCAGGGTCTTGGAGCATTTCTTCATAGCAGCTGTAATGTTATCACACATAGTGGTGTAGTACATAGTACCCCTGACGTACTGCTGGGACTCGGATCATACGTGCATTATGACACAGTAGATATATATCACATTGTGATCACCTCACCTGTACAATCTGTTCTTTATAGTATTGAGTGATACTGATCTTTTAAAACAGCAGTTCTTAAAACTTACTGTCTTCTTACCGTTGATCCTTCTTTTATGTATGAACAGGCAGCAGAATATCAGTAAATAATCTTTGAGTACTTTCTCGATCAGATCCTTGATGGGCATTTAGAAATTGAAATGTAGCATAACAACGTATGGTGTGGATTTACAACTTCTTTAATATTTACAACGCGACGTTTCAGGGCTACTTCTTGCCCCTTCATCAGGTGAATCAAGAAGTAGCCCAGAAACATCGTGTTGTGAATATTAAAGAAGTTGTAAATCCATACCATACGTTGTAATGTTACTTTCTCGATGTAAAAACAAACACCATAAACCGGGTTTGGGGTGTATGTGAAGTTCACCTTCCTCAGATTCATGAAACTTGCTGCTGCTATAGTTTCCTAATGGTTATCTTACACGTATAGGTTGATCGTAATACAAACAGTACGTAGATGAAGGATATAATTACCGTTACAAATGCACTTATGTAACGACACCGATGTGACGTGAGAAGAGGAAGACATCTTAGGCATCATCAACACAAAACTCCACGTATTTCACGCTCTTTCCTCACTCACTCATATCTACACACTTACACATCCCCTCTATCCCATTCACACTGGACCGCCTCCGTGGTGTAGTGGTTAGAGCGTCCGCCCGGAGAGCGGAAGGTCGCGGGTTCGATCCCCGACCGCGTCATACCAAAAGACGTTAAAATATGGTAATTGTTGGTCCCTGCCTGGCGCTCGGCATTAATGGGTACAACAAGGACTGGTCGGCTCGGAGTCAGTATAATGTGTCTGAGTGGGGTATTCATGCTTCAATGCGACATGGTATCTCAGTGGGCTGGCACTATAAAACCAGCTTCAGTCTGGGCTAGTACAAGCAGCCGCACATACACATACACACGCATGCACGTCGTCATATGAGCGAAATATTCTCCAGCACGACGATAAACCCAATTTCACCTCACCCATTCACACTGTGTATCTATACCTACTCTCTGGATCGCCAAGTCTGTGTTCCGCCAATGGGTTGGCCCAGAAACTCTCTTTCTCTATAGCTTCATCCAGAGTAAGAATGGGGGTGCTGACGTCACTGTACGTAATGTCCACCTTCTTGGCCGCCTCGTCCGCCGCGGTCTGGGTCTCTGTATGTTCATATGCATATAGTGGGTAAGGATTTTCAAACTAATCGTGATTTTCGTACGATTCACTCAGATGGAAATATGCATTACATGTGGAGTATGTTAGCTATGGAAACGTATTATGATAATGTATTTATAGTCTACGTAGAGGATGTTTTCGTGTTCGTAGGTAATACTTTCATCTACGTACATAATACTTTCATCTACGTACATAATACTTTCATCTACGTACATAATACTTTCATCTACGTACATAATACTTTCATCTCCGTACATAATACTTTCATCTACGAAGATGATATTTTCATCTACGTACATAATACTTTCATCTACGTACATAATACTTTCATCTACCAAGATGATACTTTCATCTACGTACATAATACTTTCATCTACGTACATAATACTTTCATCTACGTACATAATACTTTCATCTACCAAGATAATACTTTCATCTACGTACATAATACTTTCATCTACGTACATAATACTTTCATCTACGTACATAATACTTTCATCTACGAAGATGATACTTTCATCTACGTACATAATACTTTCATCTACGTACATAATACTTTCATCTACGTTCATAATACTTTCATCTACGTACATAATACTTTCATCTACGTACATAATACTTTCATCTACGTACATAATACTTTCATCTACGTACATAATACTTTCATCTACGTACATAATACTTTCATCTACTTTCATCTACGTACATAATACTTTCATCTACGAAGTGATACTTTCATCTACGTACATAATACTTTCATCTACGTACATAATACTTTCATCTACGTACATAATACTTTCATCTACGTACATAATACGTTCATCTACGTACATAATACGTTCATCTACGTACATAATACTTTCATATACGTACATACCACTTTCATCTGCGTACATACTACTTTCATCTACGTACATACTACTTTCATCTACGTACATACTACGTTCATCTACGTACATAATACTTTCATCTACGTACATAATACTTTCATCTACGTACATACCACTTTCATCTACGTACATACTACTTTCATCTACCTACATAATACTTTCATCTACGTACATAATACTTTCATCTACGAAGATGATACTTTCATCTACGAAGATGATACTTTCATTTACGAAGAACATATGGTCACATCTATATATGATGTTATAATTGTGATTTTGGCCCCTTGCTGAATAGATTTTAAAACCATATACATACATACACATTTATCACACGAAATGTTCATACACTATGGTCGCATATATAAAAAAGAAGATGAAGTTGAAATAGGTTTGGCAAAGGTTTTTTGGGGGAAATTTGTAAATAGCAAAAGGCACCACCTGAGATTCTGTTTGATATATCTACCAATTTTTAACGGCTTTTCAGTTATGCCCAGGAAACAAAATGATTACGGACGGACGGACGGACGAGGCGTCGACAATAAAAGGCGCGTCAAGGTTGAGACAAATCAAATTATTAAGCTGGAAGCTTCATAAAACATACCCGGAACTTTTGTCGTTTACGCGAGAAAACCTGGTCACCAAGGTCTATATTGGATTATAGCTTCTCCAAAGTAGATTAAATTATACACGTAAAGTTACATATCATCTACGTAGATGTACGTATCATCTTGGTAAATGAAGGTAATTGCTACGTAAATGAAACTTTAAGTATCTTCTAAGAATGATATTTTTTAGATTGTGGCACTAATATGCCTCCATAGTTAGCAGATAATTGAAACTACACCGATTACTCTCTGGAGTTAAGGTATTGAATTCTATTTAGCTCTAATGGCTGAAAGCGAAATAGTTGGGTTCGTAATGTATCTGGGTACACATAAATATGTTCACACAATAAACTGGCTAGACAAGCCCTTACTCTCTGAACATATACCGGTATATGAATTTTAACAGCAACCAGTAATTCCTTTAAAACTGAAAAGGATCCGGGTGGGAAGGGAGGTTTGAACCTGAGAAAATCTAGTCTTTAGGGCTTTAGCACTGCAGAAAGGGCTGGGCAGATGGGCAAGTAAAGTGGTTCAGGGACTATGAGACTGTAAACTGGTGCGTGAACCGCCACGTACCTGCAAGAATCAGGCCAACTGGTTGTCCTGCAAACAGAACCTTTCCACTGCAGAACAGCTGAAGCAGAACCGCAGAGCGTTTGATATACAGAGATCATCAATCGAGTGTTCACATATGGCTAATATCATATATGAGAAATAACATTTATATCACATGCGAGACTTTGACAAACAGAGTGCATAATAGTAACATATGTTTACTCCTGCTATATGATAATAACAAGATGGCAGCTTATGATCGGGGTGTAATGATAATTAATCATGTAATTTAAAATATCAGAGTAATAACTAATACGTCATTTCTCTGACCGTACAGGGGCGTAGGAACGGTTTTCAAGTATTGAAAATCAAAATGAAATTGTAGTTATGGTAAGGTAGATATGGTTTCGTCTTGAAAAGGGGGCGCCCCCGTTATTCCGTACGCAATACAAAGCAGGAGTGACTTGCCCCGTTTATAATAGTTGCCAAATGAGGTAATGCTACTTTTTTCGCTTTTCATTCAGCTTCCAAATCGTTATATAGCAGTGAGAACATACAATGAATAATATCGCCCGTTTCATAGTGATATCATTCGATATCAATATGTACAAATACAACATGTGATTCAGGAAACGAATGATCACCTCTTCCGGAGCAAAGGGAATCATTGAAAGAGACGGTGCGCGGTTGTTGACCCCCGTGATGTCCTTGACATTGACGTAGTCCACGACCCCTGGCAGACGCTACAAATATCAGAACAATAAATTCGTGAATTAGAGGCGGACTATTATTAATGTTTAGATACTGCAAATGTGTGTGTGCGTGCGTGCGTGCGCGCGCGCGTGTGTGTGTGTGAGATAATTAATGTTTGGACACTGTGTTTGTGTGTGCGTGCGCGCGCGCGTGTGTGTTGAGAGAGAGAGAGAGAGAGATTATTAATGTTTGGACACTGCATGTGTGTGCGTGAAGAAAATCAAGTGATCGATATTATGAGCCACGATCCACGCCATTGAAGATCGATGACGTGCAATCAACACGGTTATCAACCCTTGACACACCATTCGTTTAGTAGTCTCTAACGTGCCCCGTAGGTTTCCGGATATATATTATATATTCCAACCCGGGCTCCCTCTGGGTTGTGATTAAAACGAGTCAAACTGGTGACACGTTGATGATTACTTACCAAGGCACTCGACGCATCTACGTTCTGAATCGTGGCCGGCCCCTGTGACGTCACAACGAAGGCACCGGACAACTCCTGGGAGGAGGATGGGATGTCGTTGACGAACTCTGCCTCTCCTGATGCCTGGTTAGCAGAGGGTGAAAATTCCAGTAATATTTATTTGTATTACTGAAAAGAAGTTCATATCCACCAATCATATCTGGACCAGACAACCCAGTGGTTGACATCATAAACACCGATCTACGCAATTAAAATACCATGACGATAGTGACCACCTGAGTGTCATAGACAGTTGATAGTTTCATTCATGTTGCTCAAACACCTCTCCGTGTTTTGTCCCCTTTTATCTCACAGGGATAGATGTGACTATTTAGTGAATGTAGCTCTCGAAAGCTCCTGAAAAATACTGCTTATCGCATTACAAGTATTACATATTTTAATGCATCATTGTGTTTTCCAACACGTAAATTCGTGTTGAAGGTTTATCCTTCGTCCCGCTGATTACGTCATTAGTCAATTTTACTGAATTTAAACTGAATGGGGTCCGAATGAATTTGGTTTTCGTACCTGTGCATGAGACGCCAATTTCGGCATGGGCTGCTTGAGTGGCCAGTCTGCCTTTTTTCTCCTGGAACTCTTGAACTCCTGACGACAGAGGGCGCTCTATAGAGAGGGGTCCTGACACCCTTGTCTGGTGTTTAGCTCCACACAGCTCCAAGATGCACTGCAGAGATTCAGCGAATGAGTGAGTGAGTGCTTTGTGATGTGTGTTTTTTAAAGTATGGACTGACTGACTGAGTTTGGTTTTACGCCGCTTTTAGCAATATTCCAGCAACATCACGGCGGGGGACACCAGAAATGGGCTTCACACATTGTGCCCATGTGGGGATTCGAACCCGGGTCTTTGGCGTGACGAGCCAACGCTTTAACCACTAGACTACCCCACCGCCCCTTAAAGTATGGAACATAATAATGTGTTTCACAGAAACCATCCACATGTTAAACTGCCGTGTTATGTTATGCTTTTCTCTACAAAGGGCGGTGGTGGAGTCTCGAAGTGAAGTTGAAGCCTCGCCATTGTGAAGGCATGGTCTGTTCCCAACGTAAGAAGAATATTGTGAAGCCCGTCATTGGTGTTACCCAATGCTAAACGTGCCGTGAAACTCCATCACACGCACCTACCCATCTTCACACGCAACAACCACCCAGTCATCTACCCACATACATACCCACGCACCCACACACCCACCGCCCACCAATCTCTCACCTTATAGAGGAGGTTGACAGCGAGATTACGGCGGTACTGGGCACTAGCCAGAACATGGTCATCAGAGGGTTCCAACTCAGAAGCCAGACAGTCAAGCGCACCTGTTGCACGGACATTAGCCGACTTAATAAACAGCGACAGGTATACAACGATAAACATTATTATAAATATTTCTTAATTATAACCACGAATATAGCCAAAACATATTTTTCGTGTCGCAAAACTAAAGAATCAGTACTGTATGTGTTCGTTGTGAGCCTTGTATAGTAAACATTTTCACAGTTTGGAGGTCTACAAATATTTCGGAGAACGACATCCGGCTCGTTAGTCAGAGTAACAACACTGAAGTCCTCAACGAGGGTTTCAAAGGGTATAATGGTAGACTTGTGGAGGATATTTCCCAATTTTACTCCTAGGCCAAATGTAGAGATAACATCATTATCAGGTAATATGATACACCAGGCCTTATCACTCATACTGCATATCCTGATCATGTTGAACACCAGTGCTTGTCACCGTCCATTAAACCATGCGGTTAATACTCATGCAGTTTGTCTATGAACATGCGGACACTGTTTCAACAGCGGGGTAATCCTTGTTTGTTTTCAGCAACCTGATACATTCTGTGTCTAGTTCCACATTGACAAGAATCTCTGGAGGGTGGGAGTTGTCATACCAATTACTGGATAACGCTTTTACTGCTGCTGAGAGATCCTAAAAGATAGGGACTTTTCTAACATTTGGCCTAGGACTAATTTGACGAATCAGTGACCAAAACGGTGTCCGATGCATCACTTCTACCATGTATTCCATTGTTTGGTGTGTTTTTAGGTTAAAAGTTGACTTGCCTTTTCATGTGTTTGTGAAGGGTGCTGCAAGTGGGGCTGGATACGCTTACCTTTTCTCGAACATGTAACTATATAACTACATGATAGTGATTCATGAACCCGTGCTGGTTTTATTGTATGAATGGGAGCAATGGGTTGTATGTTATCTAATGTGTTCTGTCGCTATTTTGTATACAGTGAAACCCCACTAATCTGGACGGTACGTTTCCAGCGAAACAGTCCGGGTTAGTAAATGTCCCCGTTTGTAGATACATGTATGGGTTCGTAACACATTTGAATCTTATTTGGATGTGGAGATAAATGTTATGTTTCCAGATCAACAAGGTCCGGATTCCACCGAACACAACGCTAGCTACTTGCACCAACATTAAGCTAATTATCACCAAGCAACGAGAGCGAATATTGCCACATGCCCACGCTAAAGAGCTGGGTTCGAGTCTCACATTACAATTGGAAACACTATATGAAGCCCTATTCCCGGTGATTCCCGCCGTGATATTGCTGAAATATTGCTGAAATCGGCGTAAAACCATACTTACTCATCCTTTTTTCTAATAATTTAGCTCATAGTATCTGCTATGCTTTAATGTGTGAAAAACACGGGCGGTCCTTGATTTGTTTAGCATTATGTGGTTTGTGTCTGATGCGAAATAACCCAAGCGACGTACTTCTCAAAACGACCCCGTCTGTCAGCGTTTTGCCGTTCAACAGGGCCTCCGTCTTGTTCGCGTGGATCTTAAAGTAAAATGAAAGTCTTAAATATATATCACAGTGGAATGTATACAAACCAGGCTTCCGTGAAGATGAAAGTTCGTCCGGTTTAGACAAAAGGTTTGTCAGATAATTGTTTGATAAGAAATGAATATAAGATTTAAGGTAAATCGCAATGCCATAAGTCGAGTCAGATGCAAATGTTATGGACCGGACCAATCAAACTTTGGTGGCAAGGTCATACATTGATAACATTATACCCTGAGTAAACGAAGATGAGACAATACCCACCAGGTCCCGGTTAATGCCCCCGAACACCAGAGACGGCTTCTTGAGAACTTTGAATTTCCACGCATCCATCTGGATCTGGAATCCTGCGTTCACATAGGCGTGGGCGTTCTGTAACACAAACAATTACTGTGTGTGTGGCATTGGTACGATCGTCCTTGCGTGCGTATTTGTGTGGGTTTTTTTCGCGGGTAGGGTGTGTGGTGTATATGTAGGTTAGGTGTAATATTGTGTGTGTGCGTGCGTGTGTGTGTGAGAGAGAGAGATAGAAAACGCGGACGTGTGGGGAGAGTAGGCGCGCGTGCGTGCGTGCGTGCGTGCGTGCGTGCGTGCGTGTGTGTGACACCACTGTGTGATATGAATGTGTGCACGGTTGTGTTCCAACTTTAAGACAGGACAATTAATCGCTTTACTTTAATTATTGTTCCCTGTTTTTTGTGTTGATGATGATGATGATGATGATGATGATGATGATGATGATGATGAAGCTGTAGATTGTAAGACAGACATACCTGCGATCTTGGCATGACCTTGTAAGATATCAGCTTATACTTCTCGTCCTGTTTGAACAGTTCCAGCGACACAATGAGCTTGTTCCTCATGTCGATTTCCGTGATGAGTGACAGCAGCGGGTATGACTTGACCACTCCGTCCGCGCAATCTGTGCACAACAATATACAGTATATAATTCTCAACTGCTATCAGAGACGCAAGCAACGCAAGAGACATAGATATACACTATCGCGATCTCAACGCTGACAAACACAACAGACATATATCAGAGAGAGCAGATTGTTTGTGTTGCCACTCTACTGAAGATGCACGTTATTATTTCTTTGTGTGTCCCAGATTTGATGCTGTAAGAAAAAATAAATTTTATTATACCAATGGCTTTTCATTAGAAACAATCTTATACGGAACGTCTTCCATGGACCCACAAATTCAATTATATATCTTAAAATCAGTCCATCTATTTATAATTGAAACTAGGCGCTTTAACTGAGCAAGTCATACACTAAAACCTATAATTCTCAAAGTTATACTACTATGGATCCCGACTGCAGATGCCATGAATGTATACAACCATCATGATTTTAAGTTTCCGACTACATGTCATACCATCTACTTTCATTTTAGATATCATCTTTTCTTGTCATGATACTGTTTCATATATCTATGTATATTGGAACGGTCTTCATATAAGTTCTTTTGAGCTTGTTGACCAATCCAGTTCATGAAAATTCTGTCTTTGCTTTTTCATGAAATAAATATGTTTAAACCATATACACTATCGCAACCTAGACACAATCCAACGACTGGTAGAAAGACAACAATGCAACATCCTTACAACCGCGACATTATCCCGCAACTTTTCGACAACTGCAACGCAACACCGCAACTTACAGACAACAGCAATATGAAACCTTAATTACCAACCTCAGCAATACAACGCCGCAAGGCGCAGAGTACAACGTACCGACAACAGCGATGTGAGCCCCGACGGCTTCCATGATGGTGAAGACGTCGGACGGGAATTCGGGGTGGGCCTGTTTGATCATGACGTTCCCGGCCCAGGAACCAGCCTACGATATGTACATTATACTAAATCAAATACATGGTTACTAATGGAATCACGATATGATTTGCCATATTACTTTATATCTCCTGTATATTGCTAATAAACTGACGCACAAAAGAAAGTACACACCTGTTGTTTTGGTATTATTGTCCCCCCAAAACGAAAATATTTTGAAAGGTGTTATGATTATGTCTCTTTAACCATCAATCATTACTGCATCAGTTTGTGAAACGTAATCTGTGACAGTAATTTTATATGAATGAAGCCATTTGAATAAGAAATGAATATGCAGCCGAACGACCCTTAACCCGTTTGAAATGATGTGCCGAAAAATGCAAAGATATTATTTTCAATTCTACCATGACATCAGTAAACACTGGATTGTGATTGGTTAATTAAAGTCATTCAGAGGTATATAATCACGTTATACAGGTCTCTGTTTTCCGTGCGCAATCATACATGGTTTACGGTAATGCACTATTTTTGTCTGCCCACTAACGTGGCGGACACCAAACAACCTACCGATGCATCGATAAATTACGGCGATTTTACTGTCGGAAATTACACATATGTCTTTAAAGATGGATTTAGCGATGACGGGCTCGACTCACTACTTGCGTAAATCACAGCAATAGGTGTTTATACATACAAAAGTACTTCGAAAGCATGGAAACAAATATTCAGTCGAACAAGATCAAAACATCGTCTGCTTTCCGAATAAAAAGTCAGCAAAAACAAATATGTTTACGTTGATTCTATGTTATGTCAGAATAGATCCAGCAATAGACTGCTACATAATTTCCCGTGTTAAATTTATTATCAGCTTTCGTCAACGTTATCGCCACTGATCTTGATCCGGTAACGGAGGATGCATTAACATCGAACGCCGAAGAAATTTTAATGCCTTCCGTCGACATAAATAAACAGTTGGGTTATCAATTCAAACAAAATGATAATTTTGAAATTTGTACTGTTTCAAATTTAGCGGTAGTAAAACACAATTACAGTATCTGCAAACCGTTCTGTTTAGCCCAACATATTTTTTTTCTAAAAGTATAACATCATTGAAAAAGTTATTTAGCTTAGTCATGATCCCTCTTATCCATTACACTGCTTGATCTAAAGTAGTCTATTAAAGTATAATTAATTACCTTACCGTGTTTATGCCAGAGGTACACCCTCATGTCCTGATCCATCCTTTCGGAAATATCACCACAAATGTGTCTCTTTGTCAACAGACTCGCGAACATGCCAGCGAATCCGATTCAATTTGAATTCACTACACTTTGAAGCCACTAGGTCACAAAGCACTTTCCAAAATGTAGAAAATAATATCCGTAGAATTGAATTTGAGCACAAAGTACACACATGAGTGTGTAAGGGTCACCACAGCTGTCGCACGCAGACGTAGAGGTGCATGAAATCGTCAAGTTGACACGGCGCAAAATTCAACAGTATCTAAATTCGGTACAACACGGACTCCTCGTTACAGCAAAAGCGCCTCCACTCTTAAATTTTGTACTAGTACCAGTAATTAGATATCAAAGACTATCTCAGTCATACAATTAGGTTAACCTTGCGCAAACTGTCAGAGGCTCTCCTGTCGCATCTTTCCAAATTTGCACGTAAATGTAAACAATGACTTCCGAGAAAAGGTCAAGGCCATGAGGTTGCTGCCATTATTCTGGTGGGGTAAGGGTCTACTGTGGAATTTTCAAATGTGAACCAAGCTGTTTAAACTTATTTGATATATGTTTTCCAACTTATCAGTTAATGATTGGTGATTGATGCATTGAAAAAACAAAACGTGATTTGTTATTACTGAATCCGGAGTTTGTTAGTCATTGACGGTTTGCCACCAATCACCCCGTTTCGGGCGATGCCACTTGAGATTGGAATGCGAGGCCGCTTCACGTATTGACATGTAACCAAAGAAAGAGCTCCACCTGAAATTGTTCATAAAATTGTCATAGTAGAATGGAGATAAACCTACTGTGTGGGAAAATCAGAGGTATATAACGAAATTATAATAGCTCTAAATTTCATTTAAAACCGAATTATAATAGCTCTAAATTTCATTTAAAACCGAACGCGTAGCGTGAGGTTTTAAATGAACAATTTAGAGCTATTATAATTTCGTTATATACCTCTGATTTTCCCACACAGTAGGTTTATCTCCTAAATATACGATGTCCACCATATTATCTATCATCAGTTGCGTTTCACGCGAATTGCTTTGGGTGTTTTTGTTTTTGGGTGGTTTTTTTTGTATATTAACTTTTAAAGCAAATTAAATCATAAACAAATAAGACTATGTAGGATTATGTTGTTGTTTTTTATTATTCCACTTTTTTTGTTGTACAGCAAATCATACATGTCATACATAATATGTCATTTAGCATATGCTTCATTGAAAACAGACTGTTTATGGCAACACGAGCAATGTCATCTATCGAGAAGCAGTTTCATCAAAGAGTAACTGGATAAAATGGTTCAAACAACCTGCTTATGGCAACTGGACCAATGCTATACATCGAGAAACAAAGTTTCAGCAAAAAGAGTAATTAAATAGAGTGGTTCAAACATACCACTTATGGCGGCTGGACCAATGTCATACATCGATAGACAAAGTTTCATTGAAAACTATGTAGGATTATGTTGGGTTCTGACAAAGCGCAAGTACAGTTCGTTTTGTTTATACAACTGCTTATTTTACTGATGATATCATTAATTTTACCATAACTTGTGTAAATACATGATTGTAATTTATTAACTAAAGTCAATCAGAGGTGCATAATCACGTTACACAGATCCCAAACATATATGTATAGTAGCTTTTGTTCATCAGAGTATTTTTTAACACTTGTATATGTCAACGTTTTGACCACATTACCAGTAGCACGAATGACAACGTCGTCTAAGACGACAGATAACTTCTTTGAGAGCCTCTAACAGAAATATTCTTTGTGGAAAAACATAATAAAATAAATAATTTCCATCATAAATGGAGCCCGCTCTCCCCAGTACTTAGATGACTCAAACTGTATTGACTTGTACCTGACATTATCTGTACATTATCTATTTAATGAATTATGCATGTTTATAAATGTATTAATACAAAAATATCTCACCTGTACATCTGTACATTATCTATTTAATGAATTATGCATGTTTATAAATATATTAATACAAAAATATCTCACCTGTACATCTGTACATTATCTATTTAATGAATTATGCATGTTTATAAATATATTAATACAAAAATATCTCACCTGTACATCTGTACATTATCTATTTAATGAATTATGCATGTTTATAAATATATTAATACAAAAATATCTCACCTGTACATCATGTAGCCATATTACTTTAAGCCGTACGTATCACGGCTTGGTATATCTGCAATATTGTAATCTTGGGAACCAATAAAAAAATATAAAATACTTCTTTGAGAGGCATTTAGAAGTTGGAGCACTAAGGAAGGATAACAATATATGGATGAACAACTTCTTTATTGCTGTCTTGTTTATATTATCTTGGACATTCTTTATTATAACACAACCAACCTCAAAGACTATAAACTAAGGAAACTCCAAGAAGCCATCTACATCAAAAGACTCCAGACATCAATCAACCGTGACCAAGGTTACTACATACCTTCTGCGTACTACCAGCTCATTAAAGATCCTCATCATCGATAATCCCCCGTTTATGTATACAACGCATTCATCATCCTTATAATCACCTATTTATGTATACCACAGGCTTCACTTCCCATTGTGTACTTTGCAGGCTTCATTTGTTAACGCATTCATCTAAGCCCTTGTGTTGTTATCGTGTCTGGCTTCCTTATCCCCATTGTACTGTACAAACATCTGCAGCTCTAACTTGTATATATGCTCAGTCATCCTTATGCTCTTCATCACTTGCTTGATAACGGGGTAAGACTACAGAATACCGGATACCTTCCGCCATCTTTGAAACCACGTGAGTTTACTTAGGGTTAGAGTAAGGTTTAGGGTTAGAGTAAGGTTTAGGGTTAGAGGTAAGGTTTAGGGTTAGGGTAAGGTTTAGGGTTAGGGTAAGGTTTAGGGTTAGAGTAAGGTTTAGGGTTAGGGTTAGCATTAGGGTTAGAGTGACATGACACTAAACAAGATGGCTGGTAGGTATCCGGTATTCTGTAGGTGTACCGATAACGGTGTTAGAACCTACACCGAAACGACGCTCTCACAGCAATAAAGCAGTTGTTCATCCATGTATTGTTATCCTTCCTTAAGACGACAGAGTTGCGCCCCTTATGTGTGCCAGAAACCTGGTATTGTGGTTCCGATTGTCGTCCTCATCCTTATTCTAGGTTTTGAACATCTCCATGGTTTGCGCCAAAGTGCACGTGGTAAATGTCTTAGCCCTGTATGACTTTTGCTAAACATTAATTTAACATCACGTGAGCTTTCTTTCCACATCAAGCAGTAACTACCTTACACCCACCTGAAATGAGACTTACATTTCGGAGGAGGACATTTCCTATCTTTCTCAGATGATTGGCTATGGCGCTGAAGTAGGCGTATCCCTTCTCCGACTTCTTGAGATCGAGGGTGTCGATCAGCTTGGAGAGGGACAAGTTGGAACCGAACTGCATGCTTGTGTCTGTGACCTGAAAAACAGTACCTGATTTATTACAGTAATCGACAGGGCTAACATTTGTCCGTCTTGATCTCTCATTTACAGCAGGGAACAAAACTAGTGTAAAAATGCCACATGCTTCAGTTGGGGAAGAACTGCACAGGAAATAGATCTGCGATGAGCAGGTGGTAGGCCAAGGATGCATAGATGGCGAAACGAAAGGTATTAACCTGTATCTGGTACAGGTCCTTGATGTGATGCAGGTCTATGTACACATCGAAAGGTCCGTCATCCTTGTATACACCTAGAACAGAGTACGTCCCATCATCATCATCATTATCATCATCATCATCATCATCATCATCATCATCATCATCATCATCATCATCATCATTCCTACTCCAGGGCGGTGGGGGAACCATAGTGGTTAAAGCGTTGGATCGATTCGATTCCAACACATGCGTACAATGTGTGAAGCACATTTCTGGTGTCCCCGCCGTGATATTGCTGGAATTTTGCTAAAAGCGGCATTAAACTAAACTCATTCACTCACAACTCCCACCATCGTAATCATCATTATGAATATTATCATTATTAATAATCAACACAATTTAAAAAAAGAGTATTTACTGTTTGTTATTCAAGTAACGCAACCAGTTCGTAAATGTGAAGTCATACAGGCCTAATAAGAGGAAGCGTCGTAAAAGCGTTATCCAAAGCTCGCCACACACGTTTGAGACTTGTACCTACAATGTCAGCCTGGTTCCTTGGGTCTGTTGCGCCTGCGCTAACGCTCCGATCAGTGTCGGGGCGTTAGAGCAGGCGCAACAGACCCAGGGAACCAGGCTGCTACAATGTACTCTTCGTATCCACCACACTGTTAACCTATATACCTTGGAGTGCGATCATAGATCATGGGGCGAGTGGATGTCATTGATTGGCATTGTTGTTCATGCATCCTCGGTACATTTACACAAGTGTCTGCAACTCAAGGGACATAACTCCGTATTCGTTATGTATCAACAGGGAAACATTTCAAACACCAAAGCTTAGAGGTGAGGTGAGGTGAAATTGGGTTAAAGTCGTGCTTGAGAATATTTCGCTCATATGACGACGTGCATGCGTGTGTATGTGTATCGGTGGCTGCTTGTACGTAGAGGGTAATGTCCGTCTCCATTCCTCAAAAGTAACTCTCCGAGGCCCCGGAGGGGCCGAGGCACATTGTTTTTAAGGAATGGAGAGTTACGAGGATATTACCCTACTTAAATTACATTCAAAGTATTGGGAATATTTCTGTTATCAAAGTTATATGTCAAAATGACAAAATGAAGTCTTTAATTTGAAGCTGGTACACATCGCTCCATTCCTGAAAAGTAATGGAGCGAGCAGACAATGGAATGACGTCACAAATGTTATTTAATAGCTGGTTTTATAGTGCTAGCCCACTGAGATACCATGCCGCAGTGAAGCATGAATACCCACTCAGACACATTATACTGACTCCGAGCCGACCAGTCCTTGTTGTACCCATTTATGCCGAGCGCCAGACAGGGACCAACAAGTACCATATTTTAACGTCTTTTGGTATGACGCCGTCGGGTATCGAACCCGCGACCTTCCGCTCTCCGGGCGGACGCTCTAACCACTACACCACGGAGGCGGTCCTAAGCTTAGAGTGTTTTGTTTGTTGTTTAATGCCGCATTCAGCCATTTTCAAGCTATATATCGGCGGTCTTTAAATAATCGAGTCTGGACCAGACAACCCAGTGATGACAGCATGACCATCGACTAGCTGGGATAAGATGACATGAATTAGTCAAGTCTGGAGCATGACCACCGATTCCGTTAGTCGACAAGCATGAGTTGCCTCTTCCGACACGTATGGATTGCTGGAGACCGGTTCTAGCCCGAATCTTCACCGGTACTATAGCTGAGAGTAAGGGGATATTCATATGGAGTAATGGACTTCCCGGTATATATGCTACTGGGCTGAGCCGAGTTCAATGTATGTGCCGTGTAGGGGTGGGTATTGCAGAGAAGTTTCATATTGCGATATATTGCGATGCGAAAGCATGTATTGCGATATGTATTGCAATATATTGCATGAAGTCTTCTTAAGCAAAAAACTAATAATAATCGAGTTAATTCTTGATTTTGATTTATAGCTTGATTAAGCTTTAATAACAACATATAAAATTGGCATAATTTGGCACAAATGAAACAAGGACATATCCGAACATTTCCGAGTGTTACGAAGTTTTCCGAATGCAAGTCAAAATACCGGTTTTCGATCAGCGTATGGCAATGCGTATCATTTTCATGTCTGAACTGGTAAATACCGGTAAACCGCTTATATTGCGCAGCCCTAGTGCCGTGTAACTAGTATATCCACTACCTGATGCAGTATTGCCGTAGAGTAGACGGGCCTTCTTTCCCTGGTTCTCCATTATAATTCCGGCCATATCCTTCAGTGTTTCCGGCCTGTACCACGACTGCTCGCCCAAACACAACTGCAGCCCATTCGCGCCACACGTCATGCCAGTGCGAGGACACAGATTTTTGTTCAAATCCTGAAATAGTGATTGGCATGGAACAAAACATAATTGTATTTTATATTTTTGTTGCTACAGATGAATAGATGTTTTGTCAGTTGATGGTGTATCCGTAGCCTACATCCTATATCTCCAGGTCTCGTATTTCAAGGGGGCGGTGGGGTAACCTAAGGGTTAAAGCGTTGGCTCGTCACGCCGAAGACCCGGGTTCGAATCCCCACATGGGCACAATGTGTGAAGCCCATTTCTGGTGTTCCCCGCCGTGATGCTGCTGGAATATTGCTAAAAGCGGCGTAAAACCAAACTCAGTCAGTCAGTCAGTCGTATTTCAAGAAACCAACACTTACCTCTGAATCAATTCCCGGAGCGGAATGGTATCTCAGTGGGCTAGCACTATAAAACCAGCTTAAGTCTGGGCTAGTACAAGCAGCTGCACATACACATACATACGCATGCACGTCGTCATATGAGCGAAATATTCTCAAGCACGACGTTAAACCCACTTTCACCTCACCTCTGAATCAATTCCCATTGTTCTCGAGATTTCAAATTACCAGCCCTTGACCATCTTCACCCAATTTGATTTGTAACGCTATGGATAATCTCAGAACCAATCAGATGGCGATTTTCAGATCAACCTTTGTGTAGGTTGTCCATACCAACAACATGGCGGCCAATCCCACTGATTACGATACTTTGCCAGAAATTTATCTTTGAAAAACTGCCTGACTTGCAAAAGAAATTCAAAATTCCTTTGGTTCCTTTGGATGGAAAGAAATACTTAATGTCCATTAAAACTGGCGGTGACAAATCCTCCATAACCACTTTCATTGCCACTAAATTTGATCGATCTGTAAATGTTTACTGAAAAACAAGGGCAAATAATCTCATATCCAGGTTTTGGGTAGGTTTACCGAAATGCAAGTTCTGGAGATAGAAAGCTATGGTCGCAATAGACTGACGATGATATTTCCATAAAAAAGTAATTTGATAGAAACAAAGGACTCCATTTTAATCTGAAAAGGAGTCCCAGTTAGTGAGGTGGGAGAGAAACCATATATCGGTGTATGGTCTCTGGGAGATTCAGAACCGGAGGAAAATCTATACTTGTTTCATTTAGCTCCATTGCATTGCAGGATTGGGTAAAATGAAAAGCAATATGGTCCAGGGATTGTGAGAGTGCAGGGGTGGCATGGTGGTTCAGGTGCTCGACTGGCAAGATGTAGATAGTATTCTAACCTCAATGTCAATACACTGTTGGCTGTTGGAGTCGGCAGCGAAGGACTTCATGGCGTCCAGGATGGGTCTGTAGCCTGTACAGCGGCAGATGTTGCCGTCAAACTGGTCCTCGACGTTCTGCTGAGTGGGCGTGGGGTTCTCGTGCAGCAGCCTGGATAGAGAGACAGGGTGTTGTACATCATGTAATCCACTGCTACCGCAAATGATACAACACGCAAATGAAGATTTGCAACAAAGAATGAATATGGATTATGTACAACAAACACAAACATTGGAAAAGGAATTGGACGGATAGATAGAGGGAGCTGACTTATCTTGTTCCAGTGTAATTTTTACTGTGCACTTCAGTACATGCGGGACCACATAACCAAAACCCTGCTAACCCCTAACCCTAAACCTAACCCTAAAAGCCCCAGCCCAGTAGCATATATACCGGGAAGTCGGGTGGATCCGAGAGAAACATTTACTCCCGATCATATGAATCCCCTTACTCTAAGCTATGGCATCCGTGAAGATTCAGGTTAGAACTGGTCTTCAGCAAATCCCATTAGGTCACATTAATTAGTAGCGATGACCTACGAGGTTTCAACAGTGATGACATCCAGACATCCTCCGGATACGATCCAGGAACACATCCGAAAATCAGACGGACACAATCTAGATACACACTTCAATATCACAAGGACAATATATAGGTGAGGTGAGGTGAAATTGGGTTTTACGTCGTACTTGAGAATATTTCGCTCATATGACGACGTGCATGCGTGTGTATGTGTATGTGCGGCTGCTTGTACTAACCCAGACTTAAGCTGTTTTTATAGTGTTATCCCACTGAGATACCATGCCGCAGTGAAGCATGAATACCCCACTCAGACACATTATACTGACTCCGAGCCGACCAGTCCTTCTTGTACCCATTAATGCCGAGCGCCAGGCATGGACCAACAAGTACCACATTTTAACGTCTTTTGGTATGACGCCGTCGGGATCGAACCCGCGACCTTCCGCTCTCCGGGCGGACGCTCTAACCACTACACCACGGAGGCGGTCGACACCATATAGACACTATCGGATAACAAAAGAACAAATTCCAGATTCCACCGTCTACCGCCAGGTAACCGTCTACACATTAACACTATCTAGCCACCACCAGGTACAAGGGGGACCACCAGACACTATCCGATACCACACAGACACAACGAAGACATCAAGTCACAAGGGGGACCATCCAAACACTACCTGACATCACACGAACACTATCTGAGGACCGTCAATTCCACCAGAAGACCATCTAGACACCATAGGATACCACAATACCAGAAGTCGACCTTCCACATAACAACCCAACCCCCTCTCCAGACACCATCAGAGCACCGATAACTCGAAACCTCTGGATAACCGATATCGGCTTCTACATAACCCCATGCTTTCAGTTTGAATGCCACATCTTACTGCAAGACAGAATAATTTATGGCATGTATTATATTCATTGCTTTCTTAATTATTTAATGGACAGTGTCTTTGTAGGAGATGTAGTTGTGTGGGTCCTGAGTTGTGACGTTCAACTTACCCATACATGTTCATGACCATCCCCGGGGTACAGTATCCACACTGAGATCCATTGAACCTGGCGATCCTGTCCTGTATAGGGTGGTAGCCATCCTTCCTGCTGCCAATACCTTCCACTGTGGTGATCTGCCACCCGTCGGCACTGTACAGTGGACACAGGCACTGCAGACACAACACATGTACAGTGGACACAGGCACTGCAGACACATAACACATGTACAGGGTACTGCAGACACATAACACATGCACAGGGACACAGTCACTGCAGACACATAACACATGTACAAGGACACAGTCACTGCAGATACATAACACATGTACAGTGACACAGGCACTGCAGACACATGTACAGTGACACAGGCACTGCAGACACATAACACATGTACAATGACAGGCACTGCAGACACATAACACATGTACGGGGTACTACAGACACAAAACACAGGTACAGTGACACAGGCACTGCAGACACAACACATGTACAGTGGACACAGGCACTGCAGACACAACACATGTACAGTGGACACAGGCACTGCAGACACATAACACATGTACAGGGTACTGCAGACACATAACACATGCGCAGGAACACAGTCACTGCAGACACAGAACACATGTACAGTGACACAGGCACTGCAGACACATGTACAGTGACACAGGCACTGCAGACACAACACATGTACAGTGGACACAGGCACTGCAGACACATAACACATGTACAGGGTACTGCAGACACATAACACATGCGCAGGGACACAGTCACTGCAGACACATTACACATGTACAGTGACACAGGCACTGCAGACACATGGACAGTGACACAGGCACTGCAGACACATAACACATGTACAAAGACACGCACTGCAGACACATAACACATGTACGGGGTACTACAGACACAAAACACATGTACAGTGACACAGGCACTGCAGACACATAACACAGGTACAGTGACACAGGTACTGCAGATACATAACACATGTACAGTGACACAGGCACTGCAGACACATAACACATGTACAGTGACACAGGTACTGCAGACAAATAACACATGTACAGTGACACAGGCACTGCAGACACATAACACATGTACAGTGACACAGGCACTGCAGACAAATAACACATGTACAGTGGACACAGGCACTACAGATACATAACACATGTACAGTTACACAGGCACTGCAGACACATAACACATGTACAGTGACACAGGCACTGCAGACAAATAACACATGTACAGTGGACACAGGCACTACAGATACATAACACATGTACAGTGACACAGTCACTACAGACACAAAACAAGTGTACAGTGACACATCTACGGGTTACTGCAGACACATAACACATGAAAGTGAACACAGGCACTGAATCCACATGTCACATGTACAGGGACACAGTCACTACAGACACATAACACGTGTACAGTGACACAGGCACTGCAGACACAACACATGCACAGGACACAGGCACTGCAGACACATAACACATCTACGGGTTACTGCACACACATAACACATGAAAGTGAACACAGGCACTGAATCAACATGAGACATGTACAGTGACACAGGCACTGCAGACACATAACACATGTACACTGACACAGGCACTGTAGACACACAACACTTGTACAGTGACACAGGCACTGCAGATACATAATACATGTACAGGGGACACACAGTACCGACTTTCTTGAACATTAGCATCGATTTGTCATTTTGATACTTTCTGTGGTTGTTAAACTATGAGTTTGGAGTGGACCAGTTGCAGAAAAACACCAACTCCGAGTTTCCGCTTTTTTTCACCTGACACAGCTTTAGCCTCAATCCCATCTTCCACCCCATTACCTGTCTCCATCCCACCCACCCGTCCTCCCGCCACAAGGCGTTTCACCCGTCTTACCGAGTTGATGGAGAAACTGGAGTTCTGGCCACTGGTGACGTCATTCAGCGTTACCGTGACGGCGCAGCACCCACAGCCTCCTTCTCGACACATGACCTTTGTACCCCGTAGACCGGCAGTGTCCCGGATGTAGTCGTTGAGGGACGTGGTCGGGTCATATTCGCCATGGACTAGAAAGTAGCGTGTACACGCGTCAGGCCACCAAAATACATAACACACTGTTTAAATAATCAAAATGTTAACTTACGAATGATGTTTGAAGGTAACAAGACTTACCTGTATGCTGCTTGCCGTTAATAAAGAATCGGACAGGTGTGCAAGCGTTGTTCCTGTGAATGTAGAATATTATATTAACATAAGTGTGTAGCTTGAACATAATCCCTTGCCAATACAGCAAGCGCTTCTTGTAGACTCAGTTTAGTTCAAACTGGTATTTTCAGCAAATGTGGGTACGATGTGTAAAGCCATTTCTAGAGACCCCTGTCGTGTTATTGCTGGAATATTGCTAAATGCGGCGTAAAACTAATTTCACTCACTCACTCAAATATGGGACGAGTCAGGAAATTTAGTCCTATACTGTATACTTTGCTGTTTACTCAGGAGACGTTTTGGGAGGATAATGTTCAGGGGAGGACGGGTACCCAGTCGTGCTGTAAATCGTTGTGCATATTTCCGTCCCGTGGGAACGCGAGAACATATTCCTAATTTTGATTCCTAATTTTGACCATTTATGTTCTCAAACACAATACCCTTGCTCGGGGGTGTTACCCAAAGTTAAATATCTGAGAATTGCATCACTTCGGGTTTTCCTCCCACATTAAGCAGACACGTCAAAGGTTATTTTCTCACCCACTCACTCACTCACTCAAATCAAATGTACCTGGATTCAGTTATATCAATATTTTTGTTTTGTGTGAGTATATTTCCCCAACCCCACCAGCTCGAACCCTGATAGCACGATACATCGTATCACACGACCAACTTAAGGTCTAGCCAATACAGCGGCCTATTATCGAGTCAAGGATAATCGCATACAATGTATTAACCGGGACGTCAATATGGCAGGCTTTGGAAGAATTCAAATTGTAATTTGTTTTAATGTCATTTATATATGTATTTATTTATTTTATTTTAATCTATTTTATTTTATTTTATTTTATTTCTTATTCTGGGGATGGGGGCTTGTGATGGGGGTTTGCTGTCGTGCTTTTTCTTTTGAGTAGATTTCGCTGCGCATAACAGTACATGTAAGATACAGATGAGATGGATCAGTCTTTCAACGGGATGCTGTCACATGTTTCGCTGAATCATCGTCCCAGTGATAGATTTCCCCACTGGCTGCAAACAAATACTGCAGCCATCATTAAGGCTGGTGCGTCGTGTACCAAATGTCAAACAGAATATCACCACAGTGTCAGGGTTGGAGAACGCTATACAACTGCAGGCACCTGCGGATGTCAGGAACAATACAATTAGGTTAATGTGAATACAATACGATACATCCCGCCAGGGTTGTTATGAATTTTTTTACGCTCGTTTAAAACGAACTTGGTTTAACTCTTTTAAGGCATCTAGACGAAGACATAAAACTGTTTGTTTCTCAAACATCACCATAAAACTTACTGACGGTCCCTTCATTGTTCCATTTTTGCTCACAAAGGGAACCAGCTTGTGTATAAATTAATTTCCGTATTTGACCCGTCGGGCTTTTTCATACAACCCACAATATTGTTTTGCACCGCAATGGGGCAGTAAAGAAAGTGAGTGAGTGAGTATGGTTTAACGCCGCTTTTTGCAATATTCCAGCAATATCACAACGGGGGACACAAAATCCGCCTTATACTTGCACCCATGTGGGGAATCGAACCCGGGTCTTCGGCATGACGAGCGAACGCTTTAACCACTAGGCTACCCCACCGCCCAAATGAAGAAAGAACATGTCTGTTAATAACATCACATACACATCATTTAAGCATTAGAAAGTTGTTTAAAGCCACATCAACGACTAACACTGTTGTCGGGAGTGTTTTTCTCACACCGATACTTTAATCTTTCAGGGCGGTTTCCTTATCAATGTATGTATTACGCCGATGAAAAAAGAAAGGGTCAGCATTTTAACCAGATTTATATTTGTGGCGACGGGCTGCATCGCTGACCCACTTTCAGTTCCTGTAACACTGATACGCCCATTATGTCAATATGTAGCTCCGCGAGATCCGCCAGCGAGTTTTTCAGTTCTCACTTTTTTAACAACCCTTGTCCCTTCAGTGAGTCACAACGAGGCTCTTTTTATGAACCTATCCTATACACAAAGTAGCTGTTTGTTTAGCATCGGTAAATTTAATGTCTTTTGTCAAGAATATAATATCAATGTTTGGTTTCATTGCTAGGACATCGTAGATTGTCATCTTACCATCTGGATGGCATAGAGTTGGTAGTTTACCTTAGGCCACGACAAATCTATTACTCGACATTTTGATACATATCAAACGTACATCACTAACTATGGCATAAATGACGCGTTTCTTTCACAAATGTACCCAGCATCACCATTGGAACGTAGCATGATTGAGTGAGTGAGTGAGTGAGTTGAGTTTTACGCCACACTCAGCAATATTCCAGCTATATACCTGCGGTCTGTAAATAATCGAGTCTGGACCAGACAACCCAGTGACCAACAGCATGAGCATCAATCTACGCAATCGGGATACGATGACATGTGTCAACCAAGTCAGCGAGCCTGACCATCCGATCCCGTTAGTCTCCTCTTACGACAAGCATGGGTTACTGAAGATCAATTCTAACCCGGATCTTCACGGGTTCACGATTGACCTAAACAAGCTGCACTGCGATGTTACATAGCAGGTATACGGGCGTAGCCTTGAGGTGACCTTCTGGTGTTAGTTTAGGGTAAAGTGGATTACTGTGTGGTGAATGAATAGTGGTTTCAAGTGCTACCCAGCTACAAAAGTTCACGGGGGTCATGTTGTTTCTTCGACAGGTCTGGACTGGACCTGATGACTCCATTACTGACTGACTGACTGAGTTTGGTTTCACGCCGCTTTTAGCAATATTCCAGCAACATCACGGCGGGGGACACCAGAAATGGGCTTCAGACTCCATTACAGATGAAGCAGCCATGCTATGTCTTCACTATAACTGACCACTAAATTACAGCAAACTACGTTTATATCGAACACATTATAACGAACTATATTTTATAAAGGATACAGGAACTGTTTTCTGTATTCCGCCACTTGCTGTATAGTTTAACCGAAATGCGTACAACAAACTACGGTTATTAACGAACTATTATATGTGGTCTCTTTGAGTTATACGCGTACTTTAGTGTACATAAACTCACCTACTTCTTAACAAGAAGATAAAGAACAGATACGATAAGGCTTAATTTGTTCGACCCGTGAAGACCCGGGGTAGAATAGGTGACTATGCTTCAGCAGACTATGCTTGTCATAACAGAATAGGTGACTATGCTTGTCGTAAGAGGCGACTAACGGGATCGGGTGGTCAGGCTCGCTGACTTGGTTGACACATGTCATCGGTTCCCAATTGCGCAGATCGATGCTCATGCTGTTGATCACTGGGTTGTCTGGTCCAGACTCGATTATTTACAGACAGCCGCCATATAGCTGGAATATTGCTGAGTGCGGCGTGAAACTAACCTCACTCACTCACTCACTTAATTTGTTCATTGAAACTATATAATAAAGCATATCTGATAACAAAGTGTAACTGAATTCAACAGGCGGCTGAAACTAGCTCTGCCGTTATCCACTATCATCTCCAAAAATGTCCCCTTCAAGATAAAGAAAAGGCAACCAAAAAAATCTGAAGAACATAACACTTAGGACAAAATATCGACACTCATCTTGAGGACAAAGACACTATTTCGCCAGAAAACTTAAACTCTGATAAAAACCGAGCCGCCATTATGGAGGAAGACATGACACCCGATTCAATTCAAGATTTAGAAGAATTCTTCCTACAAGCAATGAAGTAACAGTCACAAGAGTTAAACGAAACTTTCAAATCTCAAGTTTCTGACATAAACTATGGAATAAGTCGGTTACATAAAACATTTGACGGCTTGCTATGCTCGGTCGAGTACTCAAGTGTAACTCAATGCGTAATAGCTGAAAGGAGAGGTCAAGGTCACAGTAAAACGTAAAGTATCCGTGGCATTTGTCTAACATGCAGTATTGCTGAGGTTAAAAGGACACTTTTCTTGACTCGCTAATACGGTGCAGTATCACGCTGACGACATGTTCTTGCGTTCTTGCGGTAAGTAATAGTGAGGTTAATTTACTTTTGACGTATTTATTAATAAAAAAATGTTTTTGTTTACATGGATTTTTAATGCGTAATTTGCCGTAAAAGGACAGATGCACATTTGCGCAATGAACCCTCACCCAATGGAAATAAATACGGACACAACTTGCTTGCCTATAGTAACAAATCAAATGCCATGGAACCACACGGATCTTATTTGTCCAACATTGTTTATCCGTACCGGGGAACGTTATGCATAGGCTTTACAATCGAACTCCAGAAGTGTCGACAAGTGAACACCTTATAATTTACCGTTAGATTGCATATCACATCATTTATGCATGGGTGTTATCAAAATAAACGCTTCGGGCATAATTATCATAATTATCATGGTGGTTAGACAACTGACAACGGCTTGAATTGGATTATTTCGTGTTCTTAATGCTAGTATGGTCATGAATCGGGCATACACAGCGCATGATGCGTGTGTTGTATTCAGATTTTGATAAATCGATAAAACTCCACGGGAAGGAGTGGGAAGGAGTTGAAAGGTGAGAGTGTTAAGCTATTTACCTTTGACCGTTGCTGTATCCTTTCACGGGCATCCTTGACCTCAGTGACCGAACTGGACTACAAATACAGGATGAGAACTGCCAACACCTCGAACTGAATAAAACGTCAGGGACATAGAAAGTAGCCCAAGAGAACACCATTCTCAAACAACAAGCAAAGTAACAAATATATGTACTACTATGGTTATGTTCATATCCTTACAAAAGGAACTGTTTATACAGTCGTCCTAAATGACGAATGCTTATATGTTTTGCATATATACTGCTGGAAACGAATAAATGAAAACATGAAAGCACAAAATTTAATCTTCCTTTACATATTTCTAGATTTTCACCCACAATATAATACAGAACCTGGAAAGAAATATAGGAACACTTGTACATTTTTGTGTTCCTTTATTCGTTTAGTTCATTAAGGGGCCGTTCATAATTTATGGCTAGTGGGGGTGATGATGATTTTAAGGGGAGGTCACCCATTTTGTTCTGGCGAGCTAGGGGAGTCATCAATTTTGTACACACACGTACTGGGGGTCATCAATTTTGTACATACATATGTGTTTAAAATTATGCTTAGAAATTATGGGTAGGGAGGGGGTCATTGATTTTGTACATGACATGCAAGGGGTCACTTATTTTGTGCATAAAATTTAGGGGGGGTCATTCACATTGTACAAGCTTCTCCATAAAAATCATTATCATCCCCCCCCACACACACACACCCACCCCAGCCATAAATTATGAACGGTCCCTAATGATGATCAATACACCTACCTGCAATGAGCACTGTCTTGACGGTACACCCGTATACGAAACCGACAACTTCAACCTACTATTGACAAAGCAGTACGGCGAAATTCCTAGCCACGCACAGTGCACACACAAGCAGCCTATATGTGTTGAGTCACAGTGCCCTAATCCTAGCTCAATGTGGCTGGGCGATGGGAGCTAAGACCACTGACTGGCGGTTAACAAGTGCTGCGTTTCATGGGCTCACTGTCCGTAAACATTGGCAACAATTTGCAAGCACGAGCATGTTTCTTGAGTAAACGACTGAGTGCATTTTTAACCTGCGGCGCATGGTGATCTCACATCTATGTGTCTACGGTTTAATAAATAGGGCGTTTAAGTCTCGCGAGGCGCTACTTCAGGTACTAAGCTGGTTCCCGGCTCAATTGACGGCAACTTGTGATATGCGAGACGGGGCCCAGCTTACTTCCGGTACCAGATTTCCGGTGAGAGGAGTGTACAGTTCTGGTTCCTTATTGTCCGACAGCCAAATATGACTTTACCAAGTGTACAACCATGCCTGGCTGTCACAGCCGTTGATAGTCGTAATAGTCAATTTGGGGATGGTTAGAATGGGCATTTTGTATTCCTGCAAGGATTATCGGTTCCTTACTATCAACTGACAACCAACGAGACCATTCGAAAAGGTATGAAACGTTGTTTATCACTGGAAGCACTAAGGTCTCGCGAAGTGCAGTGACCTGCTTTAACCTAATCTGTTAAAATGTGCATAGATCGATTTAAGGGTGTACAGAATCTGTTCATCTGCGGGTTCGTAAACTGACCTCCGAAAAAATCTTTATCATGATTTAAAATTAACCCTGTTTAACAACCGAAAAGATAGATGCATGTAGTGAAAGATATTGCAAAGATGAAACTCTCAATGAAATCGTACAGCAGCATATATGCTTGAGTGACAGTGGCTCGAATTGAGGTGGGGAAGCCAATACAAGTTTTCAACGTAATGAAAAATCGAAATCTAAATGATGTTCAGTGAAACGTCACATTAACCGTGTGTATAGCCACCCAAAGACATTTGCTATCAGTCGCCCGATGATATCATTCAATGTCACTAATCTTCTTGGAGAGCCAGGATCAGGCCTTGTCGATTGGCTGGAGAACGATACTTGACATCCAAGGGCGTGTCGCAGAAAACGTGCCGTCATGCAACATGTTGACGTTGTCAAATGTCAAACGATGACCAATGGTGTTTTCTCAAGCCTACACTTAACTCCCCACAACATAACAGCCCCTCTGCATATGCTACGACCTCCTGAACGTAACATGTTGCCTTTCGTTCTCCCATTCAACGATAAACACGTTGTTTCTATCGGCTTTCAACACTGAAGTCGACCTTCTGCCAGTCACGTCGCCGCCAACGACGTACAGACCATCTTAATCTCTGACGACGATGTCCTGTCCTCAGAGAGCCCTAATTCCTAAAGTAAAGTATCATAATTGAATCATTAATAAGGCATATCAAAATTAGTAACGCGAAGAAGATTTTTTTCAAAAGTCAATATTAATAGCGAAAAACGTGACAAATAACTACTTGCATTCCGGAAACTACCGAGAGTTAATGAGCAGAGTTCTTGTTACGTGACATGACGTCATAGTAGACGTTCGACTTGCAGCAGATCGCTCTTTACGTGTAGAATTTAGAAGTTCACTAACGTTCTCGATGGCATCGACAGACAATGCCACCCACGAAAAGGTTGAATTTTCGCTCAATGTCCTTACATTGATCACTGGATTGTCTGGTCCAGACTTGATTATTTACAGACCGCCGCCATATAGATGGAATATTACTGAGTGCGGCGTAAAACTAAACTCACTCACTCACTCAATGTCCTTACATATATTCGTCAATACCACGACGTTCTGCACAATTCGGGGTTTGAATGGGGTATGGTGTTCTCACGCTGACAAAGGTCACCGCGTGGCAGCTGTTACTATAGGATTTTCCTGCCCCAGAGGTAAAGTTAGCAAATACTGTTCATCTAAGCTTCCGGTTTAAGATATTAGCCCCAATGTGTGAGGCGCATTTCCGGTATCCACCGCTTTCATCCGGCTAAATGAAAGTATAGTCACTCACTCATGCCGTAAGAGGCCACTTACGGGATCGGGTGGTCAGGCTCGCTGATTTCACACATGTTATCGTATCCCAATCACAACCGTATATCGATGCCCATGCTGTTGATTGGAATAGTGGTGAGTGCGGCGTTAAACAACAAACAAACGAAACACTCACTTACTCAGTTTACACATCACTTGAAGATTCAGCTTGAGGACTCAGAGTATAGTATGAGGACGAAATTGAAACGAATATGTCATCCATGTAACGTTGAGCTGTCAAATGTCCAATGGCCAGATGAAAGGTGCACAAAAAGAAAGACGTTTAAACTGGTGTAGGACTCTTGAAAATCAAGAATGGGATAATGTTTTCATTTCTAATGAAAGTTCTGTCTGGCTTTTTCCGAACTGTGTGGAAATGTGGACAAAAGATACCGTGAAACCTATCTACCAACGCCCAAAACATAGCCCGAAATTTCACATGTGGGATGGGATATCATCACGTGGAGTGACGGTGTTGTGTATTTATACTGGAAATTTGACGAAGGAAAGATATGTTTACATCTTACATGATCACCTCCTACCAACGGCCCGAACACTGTATGAAGATAATTGGATTTTCCAGCATGATAACGACCAAAACCACACTGCGGGAATGTGTGGGGACTATTGAAGGGCAGTGTGAACAAAAGAGGACTTAGAAATATTGAGGAAATTAAGAATGAAGTGGTCAAATATTGGGCGCAGGAAGGGGGGGGGGGGGCATTCAGTCGTGTTTTGCAGGGCAAGGAGGTCTATTGAAAAGACACTTAGACTGTAAGAGATTTTTATATCTCAACACATTCATTTACATAAAACTTAATTAGTTTCTATACACGTATTAGATATATGCCGAAACGACTTTCTCCATAAATCTGGGAATACTATATGATTAAGCTTCATACTGTATGCAGCATTTAAATGTGGCACATTTAGCGTCTTTGGTTTGATGCGGCGATATATCTATCCTGGGAATAAGTATTATCAAGGTTTAGGACAGTATGTATCTTTGGTTGACACAAACAATGTACATCTTTGGTTTGATGCGGCGAGCATCTATCCTTATGTTTATCTTTGGTTTAACCAGAGACCAACTGTACATCTTTGGTTTTAAAACATATACATCTTTGGTTTAACACAGTGTTCACCAATGACTTTAACACTGTGCGCATCTTTGGTTTAAGAATGCGTATTTGGTTTTAAAACAATGTACATCTTTGATTTAAAACAGTGTTACATCTTTGGTTTGAAAACAAAGTGCACATCTTTGGTTTTAAACACAGAATGCGTATTTGGTTTAAAACAATGTACATCTTTGGTTTAATACAGTGTTCACCAATGACTTGACACAAAGTGCATCTTTGTTTTAAGACAGAATGCGTATTTGGTATAACACAATGTACATCTTTGGTTTAATACAGTGTTCACCAATGACTTGACACAAAGTGCATCTTTTGGTTTAAGACAGAATGCGTATTTGGTATAACACAATGTGCATCTTTGATTTAATACAGTGTTCACCAATGACTTGACACAAAGTGCATCTTTGGTTTAAGACAGAATGCGTATTTGGTATAACACAATGTGCATCTTTGATTTAATACAGTGTTCACCAATGACTTGACACAAAGTGCATCTTTGTTTAAGACAGAATGCGTATTTGGTATAACACAATGTACATCTTTGATTTAATACAGTGTTCACCAAGTGTGCATCTTTGTTTTAAGACAGAATACATATTTGGTTTAAACAATGTGTACATCTTTGGTTTTAAAACAGTGTACATCTTTGGTTTAAAACAGTGTACATCTTTGGTTTAAAACAGAATGTACATCTTTGGTTTAAAACAGTGTACATCTTTGATTTAAAACAGTGTACATCTTTGGTTTGAAACAAAGTGCATCTTTGGTTTAAGACAGAATGCGTATTTGGTATAACACAGTGTGCATCTTTGGTTTAAAACAATGTACATCTTTGGTTTAAAACAATGTACATCTTTGGTTTAACACAATGTACATCTTTTTCACAATGTAGTGCATCTTTGTTTTAAAACAGAATGCATCTTTGGTTTAAAACAATGTACATCTTTGGTTTAAAACAGTGTTCACATCTTTGGTTTTAAAATCAATGTTTTACTGCATTTGGTTTAAAACAATGTACATCTTTGATTTTTAAAACAGTGTACATCTTTGGTTTAACCAGAGACCATCTATCATATCGTCTCTGGTTTAATACAGTGTTCACCAATGACTTGACACAAAGTGCATCTTTGGTTTAAGACAGTATGCGTATTTGGTATAACACAATGTACATCTTTTGTTTAACACAATGTTCACCAATGACTTCACACAAAGTGCATCTTTGGTTTAAGACAATAAGCATCTTGGTATATTAATATACCTGCATACCAATATGACAAATATCAGCAGTGTACCTGTCATACCAATATGACACAATCAGCAATATACTTGTCATACCAATATGACACAATCAGCAATATACCTGTCACATCAATATGGAACAATCAGCAATATACATGTAATGCTAATATGACACAATCAGCAATATACCTGTCATACCAATATGACACAATCAGCAATATACCTGTCATGCCCCTATGACACAATCAGCAATATAGTTGTCATACCAATATGACACAATCAGCAATATACATGTCATACAAATGTGACACAATCAGCAATACACCTGTCATACCAGTATGACACAATCAGCAATATACTTGTCATATCAGTATGACACAATCAGCAATATACCTGTCATACCAATATGACACAATCAGCAATATACCTGTCATACCAATATGACACAATCAGCAATATACCTGTCATACCAATATGACACAATCAGCAATATACCTGTCATACCAATATGACACAATCAGCAATATATTTGTCATACCAATATGACACAATCAGCAATATACTTGTCATACCAATATGGAACAATCAGCAATATACCTGTAATGCTAATATGACACAATCAGCAGCAATATACCTGTCATACTTCAATATGACACAATCAAGCAAATATACCTGTCCTTCCAATATGACACAATCAGCAATATACCTGTCATACCAATATGACACAATCAGCAATATATTTGTCATACCAATATGACACAATCAGCAATATATTTGTCATACCAATATGACACAATCAGCAAT